AAATTATTTTTTTCATTTTTTTGCGACCGGCCCTTCGGGCGATCTCCCGATCGCCCAATCCGCCCCTGGCTATACCACCAACACTTATTTCGATTTCTAACTGAAAGGGTACCTTTAACGTGCATCGAATAAAATAAAACCAAGTACGAATAATTCAAACCATTAGACAAAATTCGAAGTCCTAAAAAAACGGTATAGGCAAAATAGTGTAATCAGCAAATGGATTGTTCACCGTGTACAATATATACGACAAACGGTGGTAAAAGGTGTCCGGAAGAGTAAGCTTACCCAGCCTGGCATCACACCCGCCATAGCTGCATCTAAACTATTAGACGAAATCTCGGTAAAATAGCGTGATTGCCAATGGACTATCTGTATACAAAATACACGTGATGAACAGTGTTAACGATGTAGTAAACATAAACAGGGAGATAGTATACGCATCAATTAAATATATCTAGAATAACACAAATACTCCGTAAGCTGGTGATATTGGAATGTTACTACATGTACTAATAAATGGAAAGTTGACAATTGGAAAGTCAAAGTAATCACGTTTATCGTACAATTTAACACTCAGTTTATGGCAATTGTCAAAATCGAGACGCAGATCCAATTAGGAAGCGTAATTGTCACTGTCAGTAGTGTTTTTAATTTCGAGCTCATCAGGATATGTGAATTCTACATAATCACTAAATTTGGGATTATTCAGTGATACAGCATCATCGATATATCGATAAGTGAAATTAAAATGTCTGACTAATCGTTTATGTCTGACTAATCGTTTATTTGTTTTTACGAGTGCCTGTGTGTAATCGGCTTCTTACGAATAAAGAAACAAATCAGCAAGCAAAGGTGCACAGTTGGTGTCCATGGGGATACCTACCACTGGCTAATATATTTCCCCTCCAAATTCAACAAATATATTATCAATTAAAAAATCCAACATCTGAATTATCTTGTTGGCGGTGAATTTATTTTTGGAATCACTATCCGGGTTATGTGCGTGTTGGAGAGGTGTTTGTTTCGCCATCAGCTTCCGCTTGTGACTTGGGGGTAATGACTTGGTGCATGGCTTTGTGACATCAAAGCTGGATTACTGCAACAGTCTGTTTTGTGGTCTCTCGAAATACAAGTTAAAGAAATTACCACATGTTCAGAATTCCGCTGCTCGACTGGTGATCCGAAGGAACCTGGAGCGTCAGGCAGAGATGACGCCCATACTTCGAGAGCTACACTGGCTCCCAGTTGAGAAGCGGATTAATTACAAACTGTCATGTATAATTTTCAAGTTAATACGCCATAGCGAGTCAGCGCCTTGCTACCTCACTGATATCATTAGTATTCAAGTTCCATCTTATCGGACTAGAAGCGGTGATGAGGTGAAGTTGTGCCCCTTTTCCCACAAAACACATGGAAAACAAAGCAGTGAGTTGTATGGCGATCTCGCCTTCAGTCGTGCCGCGCCTACTCTCTGGAATGAGCTGTCACCAAGACTTAGATCATTCACCAAATTCAGCCTGTTTAAATCCAACCTCAAAAAATATTTATTCAATTAGGCAATAATACTACTAGTCAATCTAATGTTTTTATAGGCATACATTTGTATATCTTTAATTGAGATTTTTTATGAGTTATTGATAGTTTTTATTCATTTATTATTATGTATATGTGTAGTAGGCCTACGCCCATGGAAAGACGGTTGAGACAATTTGTGTGTAACGGTCTATACAGTCCTAAGACCAACTAGAAATCAGCCAGATTTCTTCAAGTTTGGGAATGTGACCTCAAAGATTTGTTGAAGAGAATCCTGTCATCAACCCCTCAAAGACAATAAATTGTCGTCCAATTATTATCTATTCAGATGGTGTATTATATGAGACGAAAAGTAGAGATTATGAACAGTAGTTATATGCTTCTATACAATTTGGATATCATAAGCATAGCCCTATCTTTTCCCAGTAAAATCACAACATCAACGTTCGTTAAATTAACGATACAAATCGTTAAAGGGATCACAGCCTTCGGCATGATTATCACGAAATTCGAACCCAGGGTGTAACAGTGATATATTTAAACGGTTTTTAAAATCCGGTATAAGCTATAATTTTTGGTACAACCAAGGTCCATAATCTAGGAGGTTACGGACCGATATGTGCGAATATGGAAAGAAACCAAAATCCGTGGAATATAGACGTATATTTTAAGTTTGATAAAAATCGGATTAAAAAAAAATTGTGACCTCTACAGTGTCCACAACCTTGGTATTACATACTTTTACACTATTTGCAATCCGATTTTCATGAAATTCGAACTCAACCATCATAAGGGTGGAATGGTGATATGTTAGAATAGCTTTTAATACTGGATAAAATGCCAATATCGAAAGGAACCGCGTGTCCACAAATAAATTGTGGACTGACAGGGGCGACTCAATACACGTCCACTTGAAAATGTGGGCGTACAAAAATAGCTCAGCATGATAAAACTTGGTTTTTGGAAGACTTAACAACTGATTTCCCAGAAATGATATAAAAGACTTTATATAAAATGAGATTTTTATTTTAGAAATTAAAATGTTGTCATTTGATACTCCCACTGGCCGGTTCATAGTTGTCAACGCTTATGTAATTTATATTAGGGCAATGCTACTCAAGACGGACATGTTGTTTAGATCAGCATACCAAGCAATTAAAATCAGTGAACCGGACCAAACCCAAACATCCAAAATTTAGCACTTTTTCCTAGATGGTCCTAGCACTGTATAAACAATATAACATTATTATTATTATGGTCAAAGGGCAATATCAGACAGGGAAGTCAAGACTCAAAATATTGTTAGGCCTACATATGGGTAACAAAAGAATCAACGACCCCATGACCTGAAGGTTTCAGAACATTTTATATGAGCACAACACCACGATTCTGTAACAAACCATTAGAACGATATTTAATCGAATATTAGAAGATATCGATCAATCGAAACAACTATCAGAGATGGTGTATGCACTTCATCGTCGATCGGGGTCGGTGCTTTACATTTCATTGTCAGTGTGAATGCGTTACATTTCACTGTCAGGGTGGACCGTTAATATGTCATTGCCAGGGTGGGTGTATTATGTCAGGGTGGGTGCGTTATGCCAGGGTGGGTGTGTTATGTCATTGTCAGGGTGGGTGCGTCGTTACATTTCAATGTTAGTGTGCGTGCGCGTTACATTTCATTGTTAGATTGGTGCGTTATGTCAGGGTGGGTGCACAATTGTGTCATTGCCAGCGTGGGTGCGTAATGTCATTGTCGGGGTGGGTCCATTATTTCATTGTCAGCGCGGGTGCGTTACATTTCATCGTTAGGGTGGATACGTTAGTAGGCCTATTATTGGCAGAGTTCGTTACGGGTGTGCATTTACATGATCATCAATTGTGAACCCGCGGACTAGTAAGCATCACTGATCTCAGTGGTAAGCATTCGACCTTTTGATTAGATGCATGATGGGTTTACGTCGGTTCATTCGAAAAAAATGTTATTAGACCATAGCCTAGTGTAAATATAAACGATATAGAAACACAAAAGAAATGAAAGTAGCCTATGCTCTTTCTTATGATAGAAAGTCAGGTCAGTTGAACACAAACTTCTCAAGATGTTATTAATAAATCTCACTACACGTAAACCCAAATAGAATGGTTATTTTGTTCATTTGCAATCGTATAGGACTAGGCCTACTGTTAACGGAATCATTTTCTAAACCAACGTTTAATCTAAATAATGTTCAGGGAAGAAATACGAATCTTGGACCATTTATTTTCGAATATAACAAGAAAAAAAATAGATGAACATGGAATTAATAAAATAGCTCAGTCAGCGTCTTTAGACCCACAATTTCACACTGATCCACAATTTAAGCCTACATTTTTTTTTGTTTTCTTGTGTTTTTTTTTATTTCTTTTAAAACCGTCTGCATTGAAGAATACTTACGCGCGATAATCGAATAAAGAGAGAGAACTCCTCAATTTTAGAATTACAGTACACCTATTCGTATTGAGAACACTGTCTAGATCGGGGACGGTCCTGCACATATGACGTCATATGTGGCTTGTGCGTTAGGTTTTGGGTAAGGATTAGGCTTGGGCAAGGGTTAGCACTGGTCCTGTATACATCTTTAGGCTTTGTCGAAATCTGCAGGTCCTAACCCTTACACAGTAACCCACAATCCACATATGACGTCATATGCTAAAATGTGCAGGACCGTCTCCGATCTTGAGTTTCTCCTATTCGTATAGGCTCTTTAGCTTGAAATCCAAAAAGGTTTGAAATAATTTTGATTGTCCAGGCCGCATTAATTATTACACTCAATGCAATGACCAATAGGCCTACATTTTCTCTATACGTTAATCGACATTTACCGGGCTATAAAAATGATTTAGCCAATAAAGTTGTGGCCGATAAATGCATTTCGTTTTTCTTCAATTTATTTCAAGCTCAGAATTTAACGAGGAATGGGCATTACGAAATGTTACTATCCATTCTATTTAGTGGTCTGGATAGTCTAAGCAAAAATTGAAAGATATCAACAAATATGGCTGATAAAAGAGTATTTCAGTTTTGAGCCATCGTTAGAATTATTTATTTTTGGCCTTTTCTTTCGGTACTTCAAAATAATCACCATCTAACAATATACAAGTATCTATCAATTGTATACTGCACACATTTCCAATAGAAAGTATATTTTTATCGTGGAAATAGGAAGAAAATGACGAATTATTGCGATGTCGAGTTTTCCTGGCAGACGAATAATAATAAAGATATCAATATGATTATTGATTATGCAGTTGTTGAAACTAAGGATATTTCTAGGTACTAATATCCAAACTTTGTCATTTAGGCCTAATTACGTGTTACTACTATAAGACATGAGTATTTTGAGGAGGCAGTAGAATTTTAATCACGCCGAGTTGTCCTCTCTTCTTCATTCTTGCTGATAGTGAGTGATGCACTAATCCTGATGCAGTTTTATATATGTTGATCTTAAAATGTCTTATTTCAATTAGCATGAATCAATTTTTGTTCCAACTGATTAGTACTTTTAACTCTTAATTGCTGTCTCGACATACAGTGGAATAAAAGACAAAATTAACAGAAGTTAAGTCTACCTTTCATACTAGAACATAGTAGTACATAATTATATTGTACCTCATTATAATTTATGATATCATAAAATAAACCTGATGTTTTGCAAGACTAAGATTAAGATTAATCAAAGTTGGCTAGTTTTAGTTTTATTTTGGTTTACCAGTACTGTGTTGACAATGTAATAGAAAATACTGGTAGGTTACATCTTAACACTGGCTTTATCTGCAGACAAAAATTCTTTTTAATTGAAGGCAAAATTCCATCCTACAAATCACATCACAAAGCTTATGCTTGTAAAATGCAGTGAAATTGATCGTTGTACTTCAGACAAAAATCATTTTAAATTTTCATTTTAAAGATCCTAGTAGTTTCAACAGATGTATTATGGAAATTATGTGTAACTAAATATATAAATGTTGAATGACCATGACATGGTTTGAAGCATATTCTCAAATATAATTATAATGACCCTCATTTCATTAATATCAACATCGACAACATCATACTAGATTGATAGGATTTTACATTATGTAATTTCTAAAACTGAACCCTACAATTAAAGTATAATGAATCTTTCATAAATTACTAACCATCCTGTGTATGGGTTAGGTTTTGTCTCATCTGTGCAGTTTGACAAAACTTTTCAAAATCTGTTCACCATTTCTTATTCAATGCCGCTGTGCCATTGGCTGCTAATTAACATAAAAGTTAATTAAATTTTGTTACTTTTTTCCAGTTCAACTGAAGACCAGCCGTCATCCTTCCCCAATCATGTAGAATTGAGTCAATCTGGTGATACAAGTTGCTGTGAAATTAATGTTTTCTGTAAATCATTGTACAAAGTAGCCATTACTAAATTAGAAATTATCAGTGAATCAAAATTGTTTGAAATATATGACACCAAAGAAGGATATTTAACAACTGTGAGAGGCAGCCCTTTACCTTCTAATACTGAGGAATCAAAGTTGTATTTTATTGACTGTCCTTTCGGTGTTCCTGTTAGATCATTTTCAGGAAAGGTAAGCAGATAAAACTAAACTGGTGCCACAGTAAATCTTACTATTTATTGTTTAGTCACATTATAACACTTGCTATTATTTCTAAACATCAGAGAGACATGAATCTGTATGTGTGCCAATGTCTGAAGTTCAGATCTTCTGAATTAACAGAATGGCATGGAATCAAGTTATTTCATATCACAGTTTTGTCAGTGTTGGTATCATAATATTGTGAAAATGTTTCGGATGTGGTAATTGAGACTATTGAGAGTGGAACTTTTAAATTTGTTTCAATTACGGTAATTATTGTTCAATACTGATTTATTGGTAATTTTTGTTATCTTTTATTTTTAGTTTGTCTCTGTGGCACGGAAAAACATTTTTGAAATTGTGCGTTTAAAAATTTGTTTATGTTCCTGTGATAATGAACTTTATTCAGCAGAAGCTAACTCAATTAATGTTCCCAAGTTAAAATGCTATGTGGCAGAATTAGGAGACAGCGTACCTGAAAATGCTAAATCATTACTTGATGCCATCGAACAATATCAGACGGTAATATTTAACTAGACTGTTTTTACACCCCCATTTAAATGTGATCGTATAAAGCCGATTCCCCATCTATCTGCCGGTATCTACAGACTACATTTATCATCTGATCTTTCAAGAGTTATTGCCCTTGATTTTTGTGAATGCAGTAATACTATGATATTGTGAAGGCTATTACTAATAGTGACAAGTGTTATCACCTGCTTTCTGATAATTATTTCTAGAGTTGTTGCCCTTGTTTAACCATGTATTGTAGAATCTTACACAGCTCAAATGATATTCTATAGTATACAGATTTTGTTTTATTTTGCTCAAAGAATTAAAATGCAACGACATAAAGTCAATTTACATATCATAAATCAAACCTTAAAATATGTTTAAATACCTAATTTTATGTTATAACACAGAAAAACACTTGAATATTGATATTTAAAATTTGTCATGATCTTTGAAAAATAAATCTGAGCCAATCTGTGTAGATCTAGACCATGTGATTTATTATGCAAAAATATTTTATGATATTTTCAATTATAGAATAAAGCAACAACAGTAGATGATATAAAGAAACAGTTATGTCAAGAAAATGTTTGTCAAGATTCCTCGATGGCTGGAATGTCCAGAATGATGGCCATGTTCTCACAGTTAAACCAGAATTCAGCAAGATCGTCACAATCTGCTACAGAGAATCAGTTGTTTTCTATGATTAGTTCAGTACAGAATGGTAATAGTGAAGATAAAGCTAGCATGTATTCCTTCTTACAAAATATCTGTGGTCAGGTGTCTAGTATGAGAGTGCCACCAACACCATCAACTGATTCTCAAATAAGGTAATGTCACTGGCTCATCCAAAGGGTTTTACCCCATTTTTTTTTTTTTTTGCATTTTCAACTCTTCGGTGCTTTATGAATTTCAACAAGATTTGGTACATGTCATGGATGTTACCCCAATGTGGTAATGATGTGGCTTGTGTGGGGCTTATTTAACTTAGTACCAATTATATGTTCCTGCGATATCACCTCAGTGGAAGCGGACATAAAATACAACTAACTCACACACATATGTTCCTTTTCATTCTATATTTTTTTAAATTTCAGGCAAGAGGTAGAATGTACATCTAATGTACATGTAGAGACTAACAAGGATATGGCGGAGGCGGTTGTCAATGATAAATTACAAGCAATGGAAAAACAAGTATTAAACCAAGTTGATCAAAAGATTAATGATTTAGAACAAAGACTAACTTCTAAACTAGACCTTATTTTAAAAGGCTTAAATATACAGGTACCACCTGAATAGTCATAATTGACATACACTCAGTGTTTAATTTATTACAGAAAGCTTGCAGCAAACATAATTATTTTTGTCAACAAGGTAACCTTTATGGTTATAACATCAGCATCTCACTGCACTACTTCTGATCACTAAATAATTATCAATCCAGACATTAATATTGATCCCATTTCCCAACCTCAAACCACTTCCTGTTTTACCAATCTGATTAAAATACAGATCTATATTTCGTTTCGTTTTTTTTTATACTTTCGATGGCCTACACTACATGAAGATCTGACAAGTTATAGCTATAGGTCACGTGAGGGGTCAAATGACCGACTTTTGACCTATCATGTCAGACATTTGATTAACCAATCAGCATTGATGTTACTAGTGGATTACCCACAGTTCCAGGCAAAAAAGGTCAAACACTCGATTCGACAGACCATTTGATTGGCTGACCCCTCATTTCAAGCAGAACACGAGTTAAATAACAAGTCTTCCAGACAAGTTAAAACGAAATTTTGAACTATAAAAACAAAACGAAATAGGATCTGTGTTTTAACCAGATTGCTGTTTTACCAACAAAATTGAAGTATTAGTATGATAGCACAAATGACAATAAAATGAGTAACAATGCATCTTTAACAGCTAAAGACTCATCTATGTAAAATATACATAGCTTTTCACTTCACAAGAAATAAATGATAAATAATACAATGAATAAATAATTTTATTTCATATGGAATATAAATGTACATTACCAGTAATTAATAAGGACGGAGAAAAGATATCTGTATTTAAATTAATAATAAAGTACCTGTTATCATTTTAAACAATGTTGTTTCTATTAAATTTTTAAGATACATCTAATTTGTTACTTCAATATAATATAGACAGTTGATGTAAAACAAATAATGATAAGCTTAATATTATTTACATTGTATAATAGATTATTTAAGGACAGATATACAATTTGTGTAAAATGCAGCATTTTGGCTAAAGTCAAACCATAAATGTCTGTTGACATTACACCATAAATGTCTATCATTTACATCATACTACGATTTATGATAAACAATTTGTGTAAAGTACAGTATTGCTACTCACATTACAACAATAAATGTATATCATTTGTCGTCAGTTATATTCAGTAAAAAAATAAATAATAATTATTCAACATGAAGAGATTCTCATCTACCTTGTAAAATAAATATCACAGTAAATTTGTATGATTACAGCACAAATTACATACAATGGTACAACTAAATAGGTTTCCTTTCTTTGAAGATTTGTCGACGTTTCTACTTATGGGGAGTAATGTCTCAGCTCTTTTTTAATAATGAATTTTAGTGTCTTGCAATTACATTCGATATGAGAAAATTTAGAATATTCGTGTCTTAAAACTTTTTGTAATTGCAAATCAGATCCTATTTTCAATGGTTACCATATAGTGAGCTGCTATTCTGAAAATTGTTATTTTAAAGTCTCTGATTGTCATTTGAGGAATTTTTTTATCCCTTGCAATCTACAATATTGTGAAAATGCAGTTCAAAAAAAGACTCAAGTTCGTTCAGTATTTACAAAGATATATGGAATTTAAAGGACAATATTGGTGTAAGTCATTATAAAATATGTGATAGAGCTTGTTAAATACATCCCAAATATAATTTTAACACAGAGATCATTGCTACAGGAGATGTCTAACAAGCACGTGAAGAAACGGGAAGTGACGTCAAACATGAGTTGTCCTTCTATATAACTGACTGAAGTAACGAGCAGTAACAGACAAACGATCGAATTTCATTTCGCTGATAATTCCGTTGAAGATGAAAAGTTGTTATATCTCCCGTAGCAATGATCTCTGTGTTAAAATTATATTTTATTTGGAATGTATTTAACCAGTTCTATCACATATGTAATAATGACTGACACCAATATTGTCCTTTAAATATTGTCAAGATTCAGCATCCTCTGCAGACAATATGAAGGGGACATGGTCAAAACAAGCCAGCGCCACCTATAATCTTTGCCAATCTCTTCCAATAGGCCTCTTTTTACTCCTATTGAAGCGAAGCTGAGAGATTATTTACAATTGATATTTTAATTTTGTTTCCTTACTAATTAATCCATTTGAATACATTTTAGCGTGGATTATTTGAGTCATGAAACATTACATATTGTCTGAAAATGCAAATGATGATCAGTGGATTTAATTTAAGATCTATTTGAATGTTTTTGGTTATTTTTAAAATTCCATCAGAGAAATTAAGCCTTGAGTGGATTTTAATCTGTAGTATTTATAACATGAGAAAGATGTTCAACATCACGAGGTGCTAGACTCGATAAATCATCACCTAATTTAAATACACGAATATAACCAGAACCATCTCCTGTTGCTAATAGATTTCTCCTGGAAATAGACCAAAATTAAACATAAAAACTTATTATCACAGAAAAAGTACTCAAGTTGCACTTGATTTATACACGGACACCCCACTGCAGGACATTTTTAGTATAGTATTAATAAGAAGTAGGGTAATGTGTGTGCTTTGGATCATGAGCTCTGTGTGATTAAGTGGTGTGGCTTCAATACCAAGCCGCTATATGACAAGGAGTAGGGTGTTAATTACTGAAATAAAATTGTACCATTTTGTTAGTCCAGAAATGAAATTAATTTGTGTCAGGTGGTCGTTAAATCCCATTTATCACTCTTTCAATAATGCATGTGAAAAGCTTACCTGGTTAAATTAAACTGTAATGTATAGACTGGTTTATTATCTACACTAGCTTCTATTTTATGTATTGGTACCAACTGATCAGACTTGAGATCATACAGTAATAAATTCCCTTTCTCTGTAGCAGCAGCTAGTAATGTAGGACGAACAGGAGACCATTTAGCAGAATATAAATATCCTTCCCCAGGTTCAACAGTTATTGTTGGCTGATCCTAGAATAAGATAAAATAAGTATAACTGCACAGTCTCAAATGGTTTATTAAACTAAAGGGCAACAAGCGAACAAGTTGTAAAATTCAATCAGGCCGCAACCCATTGTTTCAACTGCAAATAACTAGTACCTGATAAATAATAGTAATTGACACCTGTTGTACAGTGTCAACTCTATACAAAAACATGCTCCAAGCACAGTGAGAAAATTGTTTTACACATAGCGAGTAGAAAGTCTAATTCTCACGACATTCCTGAATATGTTTATAAGTGAGTCTCAACTGTGATTTGAAGATAGTTAAGGTGTCACAGTTTGGGATCTTTGGAGATAATCCATTCCACAATTTAAGAGCAACTACACTAACTGATGATCTGAAGATATTAACAAATCTAAATCACCCACTCCATAGACTACATTCATAAGAAATTTTGGTTCAAATCACAGCATTAGTTTTGAACAAGTCTAAAATGTTATGTATGTTGGGTTAATAAAACTTTTTTTTTATTTACCTGTAAGACATTGTATATCCGAATACACTGATCCATACCAGATGTCAGGAAGGCATTACGATGAAATGGAGAATAATCTACAGAATGGACAGGTCCATGATGAGGGTTAAAGGTGAAGGTTACTGGTGATCGAAGTGGAACCGATGATACAATATGACCTGGAAATATATAAGTCATGAAAATTAATATTCATATACATGTATATCCATAATTCACCTCAATACACAGACTGATACAGATGAATTGATTGATCAGGAAGTTCAGGTAATTTGTACAACATCCCAAATAAAATGAATGTAATGACATCTGAATTGTAATATAAATTTGGCCAGATAAGATATAAAATATATAACTTACTACCAGCAGGATTTCCCTGTGCATGAAGATTACATTTAAAGATACAACCACTCTCTGATCCTACTATAAATGTATCTTTATCTTCGGAGTTGAACGATATACATGTTGCTCCTATCTCTTTATCACCTCTTACCCCACGTACTTTCATATTTCTTGGTAAACTCTGTGTCATCAGTACAAACCTGGAAGACAGATTGAATGATAATAAGTCCAGGCAATAACTCTTGTGATTAATTAACAAATCGTGTCCAAATTCATAGACATAAACTCCTGTACCAAATTTTAACAAAATCAAGAGCAAAAATCTAGACTCAGATGAGGTTACATGAATTTTGGATAAGTTGTATTTAAACTATAGTCTTTGATAAATTAGAAAGCTGTGGTGGCTCAGTAAGGCGCTGGCTTGCTAAGATGGAGGTCCTGGGTTCAATCCCAGAGAGAGTTCCTCTGGATTTTCAGCCGTCGTTTCCCATTGTCAGTCATGCAGGACGGGAGTGCTTGGCAAGGCCAATAAACAGTGTCTAGTCGGATAAGAAACAGAGGTGTGCACATAAAAGAACCTTTGACGCTTGCAATTAAAAATAAGAGTAGGCTGTAGTGCTGCTGTTCAGTGAAATTTCCCTGAAAGCAAGCTGCAGAGCTTGGACCGGTCTTCATTAAGCAGGATAGTTCAATTTTATTTCAATAATTCGCTTGTGCACAGGGGTCTTTAGCAGTGGGAGGACCCAGAGAAAAACCACGAAGTTGGACAGTCGACCCTATTACTTGCACATACAAGCGGGGAATCCAAACCACCCCACTTGACTCAATGACCTTATTATCCAAAGCACATACATTTGGCCAGCACCATCCCATGAACAACAGAAGACCTGCATAGGTCTAAAAGATGTACACAAATATGTCTCACCCTTCAACAAGTTTTAATTTTGGTTTCTTTTTACTCATAGTCCATATCAATACTTTACCATCTCCCCCAACACTTATTATCTGTAATTTATAGAAAAATCTGAATGTCTTATAACATACTTGACATTCAGTAATTATAGAAAGGGTGTTTCTTTTCAACTTTCTTTAATGTTATTTATAGCTATCGGCATGTAGCCAGTCGGGACACCCTAAAGCCAATTGGATAGAGGCTATGTCTCAACACTTACATTATAACTTCTTCCTTTAGAATTAGGATCTAAAATCCATTGAACTTTAGCCACAGGTTCACGATGTGCATCATCTCCAATACCTGATGTCGATATCAATAAATCATCTTCTTTATTTAAATCCCAAACCAAAACCTCACCTGAAACCAAAAACAAGTTTACTTTAGATAATTGGAGAGTGTATTCACACACCTAGTAGGCTATCAAAGTTATCTTTCTTAAGATTTTCTTTACCAGCATATAGTAAATAGTGGTCACAAAAAGTCTTTTGGGCATTAAAAGTATTATGGTAAAGCTTTTTTAGCAGAAGTAAATAAAGATTGATGAGCCAAATAATATTCTTAGTAGTCCCTTGTCCTAATCATGAATCGTTGAACTTTTAAACTGCTTTTATAAATCTTTTACATACATTATTATCTTTCAAATTAAAGACAAATTAAATATACATTGCCTCAAGGTTAAACAGATCATCTAGTGCAACCTGAAAATTTGCTTAAAACTAGAGAGAGAGAGAGAGAGAAATGAGGTTTAACGTCCACTCGACACAAACTAGGTCATTTTGGGACCAACACATGGTTCAATTTTATTTCCATAATTCGCTTGTGCGTAGGGGTCTTTAGCAGTGGGAGGAACAGGAGGGCCGGAGAAAACCCACGAGGTTGGACAGGCGACCCTACTCCTTGTCACGTACAACCGGGGATTCGAAATCACGCCAGTTGACTCAATGACAGACTTTATGATACAAGATTATGGACTGAAAGTTAAATAAAAATCAAATAAAAGAAGAAATACTTAAATGTCAACTACAAAGCAGTGTAGTGTATACACTAGGCCTATTGCTAAGTGACTGCTCTACTCTATAATGGTGGTAGTTTTACATAATTTGAAATCAAATCAAATAGAGCTCCCCAAACATAGCTTGTGAGAAAATATGTTTTTCCAGGTATTTTAACCATATATCCCAATAAGGAATTTGACTATCATGAAATACATCTTTATGGGAAACATAACCAACGGCTGCCAGACAGGATACACTCACATTTTGCAAGAGATGGATAGAGAACAAGCTAAACAAAAAGCGATTTTTTCGTACAATCAAGGGCCATAATTCAGGAAGTTACGATCCGATATGCGCAAATATCGACAGGAACCAAGGTCTTTGGTTTTATAAAGATATATTTCAAGTTTCATTAAAATCAGATGAAAATTGTGACTTCTAGAGGGTCCACAACCTTGATATACCATATATTTACACTATTTGCGTACAGTACGAGGGGCGGCCATTTTGTCCTGCAGTTTTGGTCCGATTTTCACAAAATTCTCACTCAGCCATCATTAGGGTATAACGGTGAAATATTCAAATGTTTTTTAAATCGGATAATAATTGTGACCTCTAGCGGGACCACAAGCTAAAAACACGATTTTTCGATCAATCAAGGGCCATAATTCAGGAAATTACAATTCGATATGCACGAATATCAAAAGGAACCAAGATCTTTGGGTTATAAACATGTATTTCAAGTTTCATCAAAATCAGATCAAAATTGTGGCATCTACAGGGTCCACAATCATTTGCGTACGAGGGATGGCAATTTTGTACGGCAGTTTTGGTCCGATTTTCACAAAATTCGAACTCAAGCATCATTACAGTGTAACGGTGATAAATTCAAACAGTTTTCTAAATCGGATTATAATTGTGACCTCTAGAGGTAACACAATTTAAAAACGTGATTTTTCGTACAAACAAAGGTCATAATTCAGGAAGTTCTCATCCGATATGCGTGAATATCAAAATGAACCAAGATCTTTGTGTTATAAACATGTATTTCAAGTTTCAACAAAATCAAATGAAAATTGTGACAGAGTGTCCACAAGCTAAAAACGTATTTTTCGTATAATCGGGGGCCACAATCCATGAAGTTATGGTTCGATACATGCCAATATCGAAAGGAACTCAAATCTTTGGGAGATAGACCTATATTTCAAGTTTCGTCAAAATCAGATAAAAATTGGGACCTGTAGAGTGTCCAAAAACAAACTGTGGACGGACAGACAGACAGGGGCGACGACAATATGGCCGTATAAAAATTATGTAATTACCACTAAAGTTTCCACCGACTACCCAAGCAGGATTTGTAGGATGAAATTCAAGACACATAATACAGCTTGGTGAATCGATCACAACATTTGGTTTATTAGGGTTGATATCTCTTCTATCTAAGCTCCATGTACATAGTGCAGCTTTATGAGTACACCAATCTTCATGATCAAATCTACCATATGTAGCTGCCAATACAGAACCTGTAGAATTCCATGACACTCCAGTAATTTGAAGCTGTCAAATAAAGAGTAATAATATATTCGTAGTTTTCACCCATATATGGCATAAAAATGGCACTCATGCCATGTTTGTTCAACTCTGTAACCATCATTTTCAGAAATAGTTGATAAGTACAGCACTGGCTCTGAGGTTCGATCCCAGTGTTGACAAAGAAAGTTCCTCAGGATTTTCCAGTGTGGTTTGAAAACCACTGGTTTATCGTAATCAGTCGTCGTACAGAGATCCTGGGAAGAAACCGTGTCTAGTCGTTCGAATGAAATGAAAAGACGTGGCCTTGGGTACACATTGGCCTTTACGCAAAAGAACCCTTGACAGTTGGAATTTGATGAAGAATGGGTGGAAAGGCCACAGCCCAGGCAAAATGTCTCTCAAGTCACACTGCATGGCATATGATATTGGAGCAGAAAAGTATTTCCTTTACTAATATAAATATCCATATAAAATGGTTTCATCTTATAATTCTAAATATTCAATTCTTTACATTAACCCCAACATTCAACAATAGCTGATGTAAACTTTTTTTTTTTTTTTTTAAAAAAACATCTAAATAAATCAAATATTATAACTAAGTCCTACCTCATCTTTTAATTCATCATGACATAATGTATGGGTACAAGTCACTGCTAAATCATCTTCGTATGTCCTTATTACATAATCTAATAGACAAACAGAATATTTTAAAAACCACAGAATGTCCGATAATAAACCAGTAGTCCAGTGCAATAGAATATGTAAAGTTACAAACCTAAATAAGTTTAATAAAGCTGCATTGTAAAATGTCTGAATTACATGTGTGTAAGTTTTATAATTACTGTGTTTAACAGAACCCAGGTTAAATACAGACAGTTCACAGTAGGCTCAGACAACAAAATAGTATACATTTCAACGCATCATAGCAAAACCATTCAAAACTTGAGGAAGGAAAGGAAATTGAAGAAAAAGTTGTTTGAGACCAAGTAATTAAAATCTTCTACTAGAAGAATTATGTATGCATAACAGCATTTCCATATACTCTTCCACCAGTTTGTATCGCTATTTCTATTTGATAAAAAAGACTAGGCACAATTACTATACTAAATTCCAGGCGTTTTCCGGGACAAAAGCTGAAGTTTCTTGGAACATACCAAGGGACATTCTAGTTGTAAGTACATGTCCTAATTGCACAACTTAGTAGAAAATTTAGTTGTCCTCGTTCTACACTCTAATCATAATTTGTACAATCAGATGGTTAGCAATGTTTTTTTACAATTTCCTGTGTATAACATGTATGGATTATTAATATACCTACCATCAAAAGCCACACTTTTCAGATTTCTCTCCAATATCTTACAGAGTCTTGGTTCAACTTTCTTTAAAAACTTCTCTAATCTACCTTCATCGGTTTCAGCAAGTTGAAAATAATTACCTCTACTATTATCAGTCTGTGTCTAGAAAGATATATATCATATAGTAATTTCAAACAATCATAATAAATACAAACAATGTCTTTCTAATATCAAGCAACTTTATCAACCTTCTGAAACCTGAGACTTTCAGAGTGGGAACTTGACCTAACAGCTACATGTATGTTGCTTATTTAGTAGTAATGATTTTCCAATCTACAGCTAATAAAGGTTCTTTCCGTATATTTGCAAAATTACAATGATAGTAATTTGAAATATTTACAAAAGAATTTCAGCCATGTGATGCAAATTGAATGTTATACAGGTGAGTTTGCAAGGAATAACTCATTCATGTAGATCTTAAGTTGTGCCAGATCAGAAGCATTGTTACGTTAAGCACTAGGTAGTTACTAGTAAATAATGCTTCAAAATATTGATCTTCCCTTAATAATGAAAGTGAAACAGTACTGTAGACAAGCATGAACATATGGCACCTGGCACAGACTTTGTCAAGTACAAATTATCACAGAACGTATATATTATACAAGTCTGGAGGTACCTCTCAGTCTCACAGAGATTGTCTGACACAATCATAACACAACATGTGTATATATTAGAATATATAAGCTTATATTGTGTAATAAATTGTGCCTGACAAAGTTAATTACAGGTGCCTTATGCATGCTTGACTGTATATATACTGGAAACCAAGCTACAATGTGTAATCAAAAAACAACATCTTTAACTACCGAATTTAATTGCATAAAACACAAATTGTAATAATTTTAAGGTAGTGTATAGCTTAATTTACCCCTTCATCTTCATAATTTTTTGACTGAACTCCAGCATCTTCGACATCTAAATCTTTGGTCTGTACACCAACTTCATCTGTATATCTATAATAAAATCACACATGCATACTTATTATAGTTGCTACCACCAGCTTAGTTCATCACTGAACGTAGGACTCATTACACTCGCCTTGTACGTTCAGGAACCGTCCTATTGAATCCTTGGCAAAAAAATTTCACTTGAACCCAGTAAATTTTACTGGGGAACTTTTTACTGCTAAACGGTCGCGTCTCAGTCCTTGTAAACGCCTGAACAATGTAAATGAACATCTTAGTGAGAAAATAAGACCTTGCTTACCTCGCTAAAACCAGTATGAGCGACACAACACGCTGTTAAAAAATAAGTCCCCGTCTTCTAAACGACTTGACCAATGCCATTGATAGGGTAACGCACAAATTTACGAACTCAGCCATATAAGATGAAATGAAATTTAGCTAAGCCTGGGAGAAAAAAAATTGGGATTTTTGAAAAAATTTGATTGTAAATTATTGGAATTGGAATAGGCAAAGCAATAAATGACTGAAGATTCTCAAATTTTCAAAGATTTCAATTTTGTTCCCCCAGGCTTACCTAAATAGTTAATACCCTGACAGTTGTAAAATATAATGGCAATGGCAAATATATAATGTTATTTAAAATGTTAACCATAATTTGATTATCTGGCAGTAAAGACAAAAAACTCATAATGTATACCGTCCCATGGAATTTTATTGTCCCATAATTCGGCATTGTTGGCTGATCTGACCTGACTACTTTTTTCATTCGTCTTTTTATTTCAGTTTTTCTTCTCTTTTATCCTTTCTCTTTTGGAGTTACAGCCTCAGTATATGGGTGTTAGGGTTAGAGGGTTAGGACTAGGGTACCCTAACCCGGCTCTATTTCAGTATCGCACCTCTACCAGTTCCCATGATCATAGAGACTTGAAATTTTCAGGGTATGTTCAGGTGGGCTAGCAATGACCTCACACCAAATTTCAGCCGAATCGGTCAATAACTTTTTATTTTACCTTAGTTTAGCTTCTATAAGAGATAAGTTTATCCGATTTTGACGCCATTTTGTTTGTTGACTATTTAGGCTCGAATGACGTCATATGTGGATTGTGGGTTAGGATAAGGGTTAGCGTAATAGGCTGGTTGGAGAAGGTGACAAATCCAGCTTTGTGGGAAGAAATTCCTACCCAAATGATTTCTTCATTTTCTGAAACAACTATGTCCCTAGTGTTCCAGAAAAATTTTCCCCGCCGATCGGAGTTGAGCAAAATTTTTTACAGCATTTTGAAATTTTGACCCCCTGGGTCAACATAATGAAACTGACAACCATTTATAACTTCAAAAATATCAATTTTACACCCTAGAAATGTATTATCAACATATAGGAAAGTGATACCAAGGATTCCAGAAATGATGTCAAAAATAACGTACGACGTCACCGTGACGTCAGAATACAAAATGGCGGAACTATGACGTCACTGTGATGTCAAAATTCAAAATGGCGGAGACGTGTTGTGAAAAAAGCAACAACAGCAAGCAAATAGACAAGAGGAACATTCTGGACACCATAAAATATTCATTCGGATCATCATCAATAAAATCATCAAAATATTCTTCAGTTCTGATTTGTTCTGCCCCGTACCAAATTCATCTTCTAAATCAATGCTGATTTGTTGGCTATTCAGACAACCCTCCCCATGGCATCCTCCACGCGCTTCAACACATTTCAAACCATTCTGTGTACAAGAACATGACGAGCATTGGTTTTTCAACGATTTACATTTACACCGAATGAAATTCAGAACGTTGTCTGGTGCTGATGGAAGAACAGTCGCGATGGGAACGTATCTATTCTCTATCACTTGCCCACCCCAATTCACAAGGTGGACGCCATCGCGACTAGTTCATCCCAAATTCTAACCTTAACATGGACGCGGTGAGCATGCTGCTCGGCTGAGGCAGCTGTTGGAGGAAGTCTATTGATTTGAATGGAAATTTTTTCAGCGATCATAGCTTTGTACCTTAGGTACCGGACTTTAGTTGTGACAATACATTACACAGAATAACCTTTCTCCAGCTTCAGATACTTCGGACTGGGAACTTCCAGGTGAAGCTATTGTCTAGCTTGCTTCCTGAAAGATATCACTGTTCGTATGTTTAAGAAGTCCCAATTCACAGCATCCGAAACAACCAGAAGTGGTATCACACCCAGACCAGGCGTGAATGAACAATAAATTGTCTAATACAGTTTTATCCATTGCGCTGCAGACTGATTTTATGTCATAGGTGTTGCGCTTTTTGTCCAAGTGGCAAAGATGAATTGTCGCCATTTCTGGTTTCGCGTGGTGCAGTAATGAGACCAAAATATCTGTGTCATTACAGGTTGACCATTTCTAGCGTAGTCAATGCACGTCTTCGTAATAGTGACATCTGCATCACCATTGTACCATTTTGTCGGGACTCCATGGGATTCAAGATCGTTGACTACCTGATTGATTAGATGGATTTTGTTTTCAGTGTTGGCCAGAAACTGGCCTTGACTATAGATAACTGTGGTGTCCGATTTCAGAGAAATGTCACTGTTCCTATATTTAGACGTAGCAGCTCGGCGCTCGTAATCCTTAATATTTGGTTCATAGCCGTCGAACACGATGAATATCTCCAACATCTTAGAAAACTATCGGTCATTTGTAAAAAGATTTCCCTCGCCAATCGTCATGTTTGGTTCATAGCCGTCGAACACGACGATTGGCGAGGGAAATCGGGCACCAGAGAAATGTATACGGCTTTGTGCTAAACCATCGCTTGGAAAACATATCCAGAATATCGGGAAAATATATTTCTTACCGAAAGCATATACTCGTTCTTTCAGATAAAAATAAGATTAGATGATCAAACATTGATAATACAAGATGTTTTGTAAATAAAATATCTAAAAGATAATAGAAGATATAAATAGTTAAAATAAAGAATGTCATTATTGGACTCTATAGTAGAGGGGGTTCATCATGAAATCGGGGGGATTGGATGGCCGAATGGTTATCACGTGCGCGCTGTATCATACGGTCTGTCATTGAGTCAACTGGCGGAGTTTCGTTTCCCCGGTTGTGCGTGACAAAGAGTATGGTCGCCTGTCCAACCTCGTAGGTTTTCTCCGGGTCCTCCGGTTTCCTTCCACTACAAAAGACCCCTACGCGCAAGCGAATTATTGAAATAGAACTGAACATAGTTTGTGTAGAGTGGACGTTAAACCCAATTTCTCTTTCCCTATGAAATCAATAGAAATTACTGTAAATTCGGGATGGCAATAATTTTATTGTTGGGCTAATATACTTTTTTAATTTTACATTTTAATTGAAATATTGTACAGCTAATGGGTGATACTTGGCAATACCACCATGGATATCTCTATGTCTTAATCCAACGCAGTTCAGGATTTCAAAAGGTGATGGAACGCCATATCAAAGCTAAAAAGTAAAACGTGTGTAAACTTTACACATGTACGTCGAGTTCTATATTTAGAAATTAATTTTTGAAGAAAGCATTATAAAATATGGAAGCTATTTCTACAATGTGACAAAACAAAATTAAACGATTCTCTTTAACTGGGATTTTAGTTATCTATATAACAAAAGTTTCAGGTATATCTTCGTGGATTTTGCAATCCCGGGGTGTGAATTATTGTTTTATCTTTTGTTGATTAGCTGAATAAATATAGGTTTGTTTGATTGGTTGAATATATCGAATTATTTATTGACACAGGTGAAATGGTTAGGTTAGGTTTTATAACAGGGGCAAAGTCAGAATATATATTGTCTACCTATTTAAGAAAAGAACACCACCCACCACCATTTAGACGTAGCAGCTTGGCGCTCGTGCTCATGATCCTTAATATTTGGTTCATAGCCGTCGAACACGATGAATATCTCTATCATCTTAGAAAACTATCGGTCATTTGTAAAAAGATTTCCCTCGCCAATCGTCGTGTTTGGTTCATAGCCGTCGACCACGACGATTGGCGAGGGAAATCGGACACCACAGTTATCTATAGTCAAGGCCAGTTTCTGGCCAACACTGAAAACTGTATTAGACAATTTATTGTTCATTCACGCCTGGTCTGGGTGTGATACCACTTCTGGTTGTTTCGGATTCTGTAAATTGAGACTTCTTAAACATACGAACAGTGACATCTTTCGGGAAGCTAGCAAGACAATAGCTTCACCTGGAAGTTCCCAGTCCGAAGTATCTGAAGCTGGAGAAAGGTTATTCTGTGTAATGTATGGTAACAAAAATGAGATACCTCTGACTAAAGTCTGGTACCTAAGGTACAAAGCTATGATCGCTGAAAAAAATTTCCATTCAAATCAATAGACTTCCTCCAACAGCTGCCGCGGCCGAGCAGCATGCTCACCGCGTCCATGTTCAGGTTAGAATTTGGGATGAACTAGACGATGGCGTCGATCCTGTGAATTGGGGTTGGCAAGTGATAGACAATAGACACGTTCCCATCGCGACTGTTCTTCCATCAGCACCAGAAAACGTTCTGAATTTCATCCGGTGTAAATGTAAATCGTTGAAAAACCAATGCTCGTCACGTTCTTGTACAAAGAATGGTTTGAAATGTGTTGAAGCGCGTGGAGGATGCCATGGGGAGGGTTGTCTGAATAGCCAACAAATCAGCATTGATTTAGAAGATGAATTTGGTACGGGGCAGAACAAATCAGAACTGAGGAATATTTTGATGATTTTATTGATGATGACCCGAATGAATATTTTATGGTGTCCAGAATGTTCCTCTTGTCTATTTGCTTGCTGTTATTGCTTTATTCACAACACGTCTCCGCCATTTTGAATTTTGACATCACAGTGACGTCATAGTTCCGCCATTTTGTATTCTGACGTCACGGTGACATCATACGTTACTTTTGACATCATTTCTGGAATCCTTGGTATCACTTTCCTATATGTTGATAATACATTTCTAGGGTGTAAAATTGATATTTTTGAAGTTATCAATGGTTTTCAGTTTCATTATGTTGACCCAGGGGGGCAAAATTTCAAAATGCTGTAAAAAAATTTGCTCAACACCGATCGGCGGGGAAAATTTTTCTGGAACACTAGGGACATATAGTTGTTTCAGAAAATGAAGAAATCATAATTGGGTAGGAATTTCTTCCCACAAATTTTCTATCTCGACCAGACTATAAGGGCTAGGACCTGTAGATTTCGTCATAGTCTCAAGATATAGACAGGACTAGCCCTAACCCTAACCCTGTCTTGTTATTCGAGTCTAAATAGCCAACGAACAAAATGGCGTCAAAATCGGATAAACTTTCTCTCGTATAAGCTAAACTACAGTAGGCCTAAAATAAAAAGTTATTGACAGATTCGGCTGAAATTTGGTGTGAGGTCATGGCTAGGCCCCATGAATACGCCCTGAAAATTTCAAGTCTCTATGATCATGGGAACTGGTAGAGGTGCGATACTGAAATAGAGCCCCTAACCCTACCCTATCTTTGTGAAAAAAGGGCTACTTATTGTCAGTCTGAAAATAAGAAATACCAAATCAATATTTGTATAGATACCTTTCTTTTTTCCAGCATGACTGAAACTCAACGGGTTCCAAATCTTCGTCAGTGAACATGTCTTGTGTGAATGAAACTAAGAAACATGAATATCTGTTTTAATTTTGTTGCAATGTTTATCACTCTTCTGTAAACTGAGGAATTTTTCGTCTGCTTGAACGGACCGCACAAACATCCGGTTTATTTTAGAAAATATAAAATGATAGGCCTAATGTGTTGAATACAGCTTCTAGAATTCTAACACTGTAAATAATGAATACATTTTATTGGTAATGATGAATTAAATTCATTGAAGATATTTACTGCAGAGCATGTAAACATTCAAAATGGACGAGGTTCAAACACGTGTGCAGAAGTCTGTAAATTCTATGATAAATACCTTAGACAAAGAATGTTTAAGGAAAATGCAAGTATGTGAGAAATGTCCATATTATTTATATGATCATAATTATTAAAGATATTAGGTCGTATTTGCTCATTGGTTATTGAAAATCAAATATGATACTGTCTTGTCTGATGCAAGTCAATCTGAACTTGAAACAGAAATGAGGAAACTTTTATATGACCTAACAATGAACAAAGGTCATTTATCGTTTGTGTAAAATAGCTTTATTTAACGTCCGCTTCCACTGAAGTGATATCGCAGGTGATATATTTATCATCTTACATTTTATAGTACAGTAGTTATTTTAGTAACGGATTATATCAGCTTTGACCTTTATCCGTACTGAGTCTGACTCTGACTCTGAGACTAGAGTGAGAGTTAGGAAAAATAGGCTTTTCCCCCGGTTCTATTCTAAGACTGCTTTGGAATCCTAACCATCAATTTTTCACCGGGATTCGATTCTTCTTTGTTCGCCAAAAGAATTCATTTCTTGACACATTCGACACAAATTTATAATTATAATAATAATCCAACACTATTTTCATGTAGAATTTAGTGATCCAAAAGCCAGTGGCTATTGTTACGACGAGTCATCAAAACAGTCCTCAGGCTATTGTTACGATGATGCTTTCAGAGGCCTCCATCGGCAAAGTTTAGGTTTAGGGCTAATCCTAACCCTAACCCTAGTCAGGCCCGGATTCAGTATTATGTCGAGGGGGGGGGGGGGGGCGTACATTGGAGCAAAGGCTAATCATGAGAGTGACACATGCATTAGTGGCGTGGGCTGAGGGGGGGGAGGGGCACGGCCCCCTCGATCCGGGCCTATAGTGAAGTTGAAATCCATTCATTCAGACGAGTAATAGAAATCGATGGTCGTAACAATTGCCACAGGATGTAACAATTGCCACAGGACTATTTTTACAACTATTCAGTTTTTAACTTCGCCAATGGCGGGCTCTGAAAGCAACGTCGTAACAATAGCCTGAGGACTATTTTGACTCGTCGTAACAATAGCCACTGCCAATCCAAAAACACAAACAAAATTCGTTTGAAATGATCCGCCATTATGAAACTCACAAATAAGAATCTGTTCCTAAAGTGATTATATAAACTCAAATTTGTCAATGTCAATATATTTCCTGATACAGCATTTCATGACATGTTTGATCATGTTATGATTCTACTTTGACGAATTTTGCACGTTTTCATGTGTCAACATCAAAACCACATCTCTTTGGCTTTAGATGTTCCCATTTGGAATTTTGATGTTGTTTTGGCAACTAAATCCCATTGAAACCCATCATCAAAGCATTCCCCCCCCCCCCCTATTTGTACGGAACCATAATAGCTGTGACACATAATTCATAGGCAAAACAGTTTGTTTATTATACATTTTGATATGCTACAATAATATAATGTCTTTCCTTTTTTAAAGAATGTTCGGATGGTATACCAAGGGTGCAGCTACCTTTGATAACCGCTTGCTGTAGCCATTGTTAGTACATCTCGTGATCTATAGCCAATGAAATGAAATGAAATGGGGTTTAACGTCCTACTGTTCTGCTCCTATACTGGGCTAATGAAGACGGGCATACGCTATACAGTGTGCTATGAGGGAAATTTTGCCTGGGCAGCGGCACTATCGCCTACTCTTATATCGAATTCCAACTTCCAAGGGATCTTTTACGTGCATTCCAATGTATACACAGGACCACGGTTTTTCTTGTCATCCGAAGGACTAGACAGCTGTCCTTGTCAGGCCCTCCGTTCTGCACCACTGACAAGGGGAAACCACGTCGGAAAATCCAGATGAACTTTCTCGGCCAATGCAGGGATCGAACACCCGACCTCTAGGCTAGCAAGCCAGCGTCTTAACCACCTAGCCACCGTGGCTCCCCTATAGCCAATGAATGATGATAGGCCCTAGTTAGTTACGTTAGTAACAGATTCTTATCGGCTCTGCCCTAAATCCGTTACACATCTAATATAAAAATAAGGATTTTCCCCCACCTCGGATCTAAGACTATTTTGGAATCCTTACTGTCTATTTTTCACTGTGATTCTTTGTTCGCCACAATGAATGATTTCTTGCCACACCTGACACAAATTTATAATATAATCCAACACTATTGTCATGTAGAATTGTGTGATACAAAAACACAACCAAGATTCGTTTGAATTGATGCGCTATGATGAAACTTACATCTGCGCAGACCGGAGGTCACCGGTTCGTGGCCTGTACTTAGCCAATATTACAAATCTAGGAATGGAATGTTACCATAAATGAAAATTATTGCTGTATTGTTAGAATATTTAGCCAATTACAATGCAACAATTGTCAAATAGATGATAAATTTATAAATTCCTACCTTCAAGGATAAATTCACACAATACATTACTTGCCACTCATTATTATTATTTACCCCCCAAAATTATTTTTTCTTTACTTTTTGACTGTTCATATTGCCGAATATTATCACCATTGATACAAGACTTCATACATGTATGCTGTAAATTATTTCAGAAAACTAGTCTATTCATTTCTATGTCACTGAGTGGAGAATAATAAGAAAGGCTATTTTAGAACTGGCCCCGAATTCACAAAAAAATTTCAGATTTAAGTTAAGAATTTACCTGTGTTCAGAATTGTTGGTCTTATTTTAACTAAAATATTGCCCTTTATAAAACTTTTGTTGTTTTAATGTATCAAATACATCAATAAGAAAGTTTTGTGTTTCTGGATCAAAGATATTTCTCTTAAACAGAGATTGAAAGTTGAGTAACTTCTTAATTTAAGTTTGTGAACTTGGGGCCTGGTTATTTTTCAATCTCAGAAACTCATATTTTGGTTGCAATATTAAAATTATCCACCTATTGTTTATTAACACTGTATAGTAATCTACTACCTTATGTACATGTATGTTGTCAATATCAATAACTGAAAATGATGAAAACTAGCCAAATCAGAGCATTCCATTTGAAATCTTCAAGAAAGTAAACTGTTGAGTGCAGTTATGAAAACCTTCCGAGTAGCGTCTGGTTTCTGATTCAGTTGTACCAATTGTTGTTGTTGGCCAAGATTAATAGTGGAAATAGTGCTCAATAAAAGAAATTACATGTAGTAGATGACATTGTAAACTTTTTCTATTCAGAGAAAGATTGAACTGATATTCAAAACAGATCTTGATACAACAATGAAAATTTTTAGATTAGAATTAATAATATGAATGAGAAAATGTTCAAAACGTCTGCAGAATAACAGGCAATCACTCTAATCAATGAAAACATAAAATATTATGTTTCATTTTATTTCCAGTATGATATGTACCAGTGTAGTTCTAAATGTTGTCAGAATAATAGTTACAGTTTAGATCAAGTACAGAATTGTATTGAAAAATGTTCCACTAAAGTCACCAGTGCTCAGACATATATTCAAAATGAACTTCAAATGTTTCAGGTTTGTAGTAGTCCTCAATCTCATTAATTTGTTTTTTCTAAGAAGAAAAAGGGTTTCATTACCACCAAAATCATTCTTCTTAAAAAAGCTTGTTTAATTACACGGTTTTACTCAAATAACAGGCTTTTAAAGTCCTTTTGCCCTGGAGTTATTATAGTTTATACTGTCTGTCTGGCAATTTTTATGCCTTCTGTTTAATTTAATGTGAAAATCACTGAAATACTGTATGTCTCCTCCTCACTTGTAATTGAATATGTGTGGATTTGTGCAAGCTATCACTCTCCTTAAATGGGAAGGCATTTATTCCTCAAACTTTTTTAAAATTCAGCTTTTGTCCAAACAAATTATTCCAGTTAAGCATACATCATGCAAGAGCTAAATCTGCCTATTGCAGGTCTATCTTTAGGCCAGAAATGTTATCTAAATTATTAATAAACTTATCTAGACCATAATCAACTCTTGATGCCATCGCTAGCCTGTGATGTTTAGCGGATTGGAATATATCTTGTGAAGGATGATTAAACATAAAAATGGGTAATCAAGACTTTATTTTTTTATCGTTCTGACTTTAGTAATCATGATCGAGGCTAGCCTAAAATTCAAAAGGTAATATCTTGGTTCATAGTGGAGCAATTCTATTTTCAGCATATTCTATTTTCGGTATCTTTTTTATTAACTATTATAGCGAGAAGTCTTTATCTAATCTCCCGTAATGCCCCTTTAAATAGTGATAAAGTCTGATTTAAAAGCTCATTGGTTAAATGATGATGTCATGTTTTCTTAAACATGTAAAATGAAATGTGAAATGTGTCATATTTATCAGTAAAACTGAAAATGACTATCACTTTGTTAAATTATAATTATACCAATTTTATTTTTAGGACCGATTACAGAGATGTGCAATGGGCTGCCAAGATCAAATTCGGGATAAAGTTGGACCCAATACATCAGAAAATGACATGAACAAGCACAAAACTGAACTAGAAAAGTGTGTGTTAAAATGTGCAGACACACATATAGACTTAATGCCAGGTCTAGTGAAAAAAATGAAAGAAACTTTAAATAAAAGCTAAAATACTTAGTTATAATATAGTATAGGGTATTGAAAGTGTGAAGTACATTGTAGATGAGAGATATAAACCTTTAATTAAATATATAAGTTTATACATAGAACCAATTAAAAAAAAAATGATACATTCTAGTTCAAGTATTTAAATTATTACTTTGTTCTTGTGTTTTGATAACATGGGATGATTAGAGGTATGAATGCTTAAAATAATATTAAAGGTGTAGAATACATTATTTTAACACAAACAAAATAATTACTAGAGTATGCATACTGTAATAATAAATTATGGACGCTTTCTACCAAATGGTTTTACTCCCAAGAGAATGCATGAACTGGCACAATGTTTACTCTACTGTCATTTGTGTGCAAGAAAAACGGAGAATCAATTCATTAGAAAAAGGATTAAAGATGCATATTTAAATAAAGATTTAAATAAAGAGCTGACAGTTAACGTTATAATAGTTAAAAAACTTAGATAATGAAAAGGGAATATGCCAGATTACTTCATTCTGATTGTAGTTATGGCCATTTGAAGTACAGTGTAGTCTCAATTGTCATTGCTAATGTTACGATAATGAACATTGCCTTGATTATCCATTTTCAAATTAAATTAATAACTGCCAATCGTGTTTAAATCTGTTGAAAATCAAAAGCATCCAATGATCTAGAGAGTTGATTATGGGCTTGGCAAATGTCTAATGATTTATAGAATACTTGAGGCTAAACGAAAGATCTGCATTTGGCAGATTTAGCTCTTACATAATGTATCTTTAAATAAGACATTTAACTGTTTACTTGAAAGTATTTTAATATACAATCACGTATTAATATGTTTTACATTGTTGCACCAGCATATAACTGTGTAACTGTATTTGGTCAGTATATTTCTATGTCAAATTCTGTTTCTCTTTGAGCTTTTTGATGTCATAATATATACGTGTGCCATTATCTTTCATTAACAAATCAATAACCCATTTTAATTACAAAGTGTACAGAAGAAGTTTAAAATGTCATTTCTCAGCATTTGTTAAACCATAATTATTGTTTTGTGAATATAATTATTATTATTAAATGATAATTTAGTTTGTTAGTAGTTCTCAACAAGTGTTGTATATTTATCCCCTGCCTTTTGGAGAAATTCGGTGTGGTGTACATGTTGATCATAATATCTCGTCTGCAAATTGACAATCCTTGTGGCAGTGTTCCTTCTATAAATCAAGATGTGATATTTTATATAACCATGTATCTCTTTAATCAACCCAGGTTTAATTCATTACCCAATCATAATTTGACACAGGGAATAGTGTTGAATCTGGAGCTTTTGCTTAGGTTTCACAGAATTCAACAGGTTGGGGGCTGTTACAGGGGATGACAATATGTGTCCACATTAAATGGGGGGTGTACAAACCAATCCAAAGAATTGCAAAAAAAAAAAAGATGGCAAATTAATGACATCTAGATTTCTTATGTCATCAAAATAATAGACATACTTTGCACATGAAAACACAAAAAATGAAATAATTACTTTATTTCTTTAACAACAATTGAATATTTCTTTAACAATAATTAAATTTGTTTTAACATGAAAATATATTACTTTGCATCATTCTTTGAAACAAGAATACAGAAGATCTTAAAGGAAGTGAAAATATATTTCTTAAAAATCCTCAATTTTGGTACAATTATCCAAAACAAAATTCTTTAATAAAAATATAAAATATTAAAACTTTTGACAGTATCTCGTTAGAAATTCATACATTAATAGGGGGGCATGATTTCACTGTATACAATAAAACAAATATCAGTAATTATATATGTAGTAAAGCAAATTATTTATGAATGTTTTCTATTTCTCTAATCATAGAGTGAAAAGAAATCCAAATAATTTCTTAGAAATGCCTATGGCTACTCAAAAAAATATGCCGGTATTTATAAATTATATTAACAATTGAAAAATGGTTCAGTAATTCAACAGAAATTAAATGTATAAAATAATTTATTAGAAATGCTTATGGCTACTCAAAGAAATATGTCGGTATTTATAAATTATTTTAACAATTGAAAATGGTTCAGTAATTAACAGAAACTAAACATATAAAATTGTGATGTACATGTATTCTGGTCTTAATAAGGTCTGGACAAGATTAAAGCAGCATTATGGACGATTATAATAGTTAAAAAATAGATAATGTAAAGGGGATATGCTGGAAATTTCCGTCAAATTATTTCATTCTTAAGCCGAGGAATCGACATTTTAATAACACTCTATTGATTGTCATTGTTACGATAATAAACAAAGTCTTGATTATCCATTTTTATGGTTAATCGGACTCATCAGATGGCATCAAGAGTTGATTATGGTTTTATGTTAATAAATTAATGGTTTATATAACATTTAAGGCCTAAAGAAAGACCTGCAATAGGCAGATTTATCTCTTGCATAATGCCTGTTTAATTCACAAATACATGACTATATATTTTTGCTCCTATTTGAAATAATTGTAAAAATTTATGATTCCATGCATAATTTTAAAATAATTAACAAGTTAGGATACCTGAGACACCACCATTATAATACCTTTAACCATGAACCGACAGCCAAACGAATGTATGAATAATCAAATCTTTTGAAAAGATATTGCAGAATTTTCTACATCATGCTTTGATTGGTAGGATTATACGGAGTTGACAAATCAAAAGCTGTACATTACTGAAAGTGCCTAATAATGAAACATTTTTCTCCAAAGATAACGGGGAGTAAATGAAATGAAATGGGGCTTAACGTCCTACTCCGACCGGGCTAATGAAGATCGGCATACGCCATACAGTGTGCTATGAGGGAAATTTGCCCGGGCAGCGGCACTATGGCCTACTCTTATATCGAATTCCAACTGCGAAGGATCTTTTACGTGCACGCCAATGTATACACTGGACCTCGGTTTTTCGTCTCATTCGAATGATTATACAGCTGTCCTTGTCAGGCCCTCCGTCCTGCACCACTGAAAAGGGGAAACCCCGTCGGACAATTCTGATGAACTTTCTCGGCCAATGCAAGGATCGAAAACGCGATCTCTGGGCTGGCAAGCCAGCATCTTACCCACTTAGCCACCGTGGCTCCCTAAAGTGGAGTAAACAACTGAGAAATAAAACAAAAATTATGTTGATTGATAGACAATAGGATCCAACAACTATAAATTCAAGTTATCAATTAACAAAAACAAAATTCTTTTAGATCCATTTCAACATTAATTCATCATGGATACACAATCGGATCAATGCTTTTGAATACTATCATCATAATACTTTATAATGGAGTACTTAGAATGATGATGTTGAGACAAAAATGTGGGGAAAATTTTTTCACAAAATAAGAAAATGTACTAACCCCCCTAATATCTTCATTTTGATTGAAATTTTAAATATTTTTAAGGACTGGCATAAAATTTTGATTTTAAAAAATGTTTTGCTGGATATTATGAATTTAACCCAAGTTACATCTTCTAGAAATTTTAGGATGTTAAACATTTGATTCACCAAATCTCTTTAAGCAGACCTGAAACCTTGTAACGGTCTAATAAACTTTCTAGATCATATTGTGATATCGTTTGCAGAGGTTAATGTCATAAAGATTTTGTAAACAGATTTCTTTTAGAGTTAAACAAATGTTTTTTCTGAACCTTCTCGTCGTGATTTTATGTATTGTAGTCTGCGACCATGTAATGAGAATTGTGTCCAAACAGCAAGTTGGCAAACAGCACAGATTATAGGTATATATACTAACAAATTAAAACATCCTTGTTTATATGATTCACGACTAGCTACATCTAAATTCTTTACATCAAATTTGATGGATCCTACATCACCGGCTGTTTCAAAAACATCATGACCTGAAAAACAGTTGAACGTTATGTACTTGATTATTTCCAAGTCTTTAGTGAAATGATAAATAATCAGAAACACATCAACATGTTCAGTTTAATCATTAAACATGTTGATCATCATTTGCATTTTTGGGAGAATACCTCATTTTTCAGGTCTAGTCAAGCTGATTATTTATCATTCCATTAAGAAAATCAAATCAAAATATCAATTCTTAAGGTAGATAATCACACAGCTTGAATTGAATAATCAGATTTAAATCCAGCCCATAAAAAGATTTTAACGAAGATTATGGTGGTGATGGCTTGTTTTGACCAAATCCAGTTTATATCGTTTGAAGAGAAGCAAAATGTTAACACATTTTCAAGTCATCATAACTCAACTTTAATAAATGTTATAAATTACCTGTTGTAGATGCTAACATCCAGGTACCTATAAGAGGTGCCAACGTCTGTCCTGGTTTTGACAATAAAGCTGTAGTACCAAATATCAGAGCTGAAACGGCCTGATGTCTGTGATTCTTAACATAGTCTTCATCAACCAGATCACTAATGACAAGATTCAGTAGTTTACATGTACCTTCAGTGAATACTCTATTACTGTAAATATATAAAAAACGATACCTTATTTCCCAAACACCTAAGGCCACTTCCAATTTATTAAGAAATGAGATTAAAGTCAACTCAATTCTGACCAGCTTAGTTTAGTACTAAAACATGATATTGGTGTATTTCTATTTGAATAATTCATTTGCATGCAGAAAAATCATGGGTTAAAACGGGTGACCAGTCATCTCTATATACAGATAACACACCTGATGGTCAACGAATACAACCCCACACACTAGACTACTTGTACAACCAACTAACTTAATTACTGTACACACTGGTGGTTTCTAAATGATTTACTCAAAACTGAACGACTTGTAAGCAAGATGCTTATCCTCAAAACTAAATGGTTATATACAAGCTAAACAGCAGTAAAACCAACAGGCTTTTTGATAATTTTAAACAATTTTTTATTAACCATTGGTGTTTGATTCTAGATAGTAACAAGAAACAAGTTAAGAATCTCACCTGGCAATAAATATACAAAGTAACCAGATATGTGATGGTCCAGCAAAAAACATAAACAAACTCAACAACAGTTTTACTCCAAATAATACATATATAACATTATATACACCATACTTCCGACATAACGTTAAAAAATATAAATTATTTATATGTGGAGCTACAAACGATAATCCTGAAAATATAAAATAAACATAAAATATTAATATAATCTATATATATATTTGTGACTGTCGTTTGTCTGTCTGTCTGTTCGGGGTTGGCGGCTACACTAGGTCTGCCCCGAGTCTGAAATTTGGGGTATAGGGGTAGCTCGGACCGGGGAGTAACATAGGCCAGGTGGCGTTATTCTACCACTTCCGGTTTCGGAGTTATGACCCCCGAGCGAAGCCGGTCTGTTCGGGGTTGGCGGCTACACTAGGTCTGCCCGAGTCTGAAATTTGGGGTATAGGGGTAGCTCGGACCGGGAAGTAACATAGACCAGGTGGCGTTAGTCTACCACTTCCGGTGTTATGACCCCCGAGCGAAGTCTGTCTGTTCGGGGTTGGCGGCTACACTAGGTCTGCCCCCGAGTCTGAAATTTGGGGTATAGGGGTAGCTCGGACCGGGGAGTAACATAGGCCAGGTGGCGTTATTCTACCATTTCCGGTTTCGGAGTTATGACCCCCGAGCGAAGCCGGTCTGTTCGGGGTTGGCGGCTACACTAGGTCTGCCCGAGTCTGAAATTTGGGGTATAGGGGTAGCTCGGACCGGGAAGTAACATAGACCAGGTGGCGTTAGTCTACCACTTCCGGTTTCGGAGTTATGACCCCCGAGCGAAGTCTGTCTGTTCGGGGTTGGCGGCTACATCTGCCACGAGTCTGAAATTTGGGGTATAGGGGTAGCTCGGACCGGGAAGTAACATAGGCCAGGTGGCGTTAGTCTACCACTTCCGGTTTCTGAGTTATGACCCCCGAGCGAAGCTGGTCTGTTCGGGGTTGGCGGCTACACTAGGTCTGCCCCGAGTCTGAAATTTGGGGTATAGGGGTAGCTCGGACCTGGGAGTAACATAGGCCAGGTGGCGTTAGTCTACCACTTCCGGATTCAGAGTTATGACCCCCGAGCGAAGTCTGTCTGTTCGGGGTTGGCGGCTACACTAGGTCTGCCCCGAGTCTGAAATTTGGGGTATAGGGGTAGCTCGGATCGTGGAGTAATATGTTTTAGCTGTCATGGTTGGTTGAGATATTTACTTATGCACTTGGCTCATGTGTTGTAGCCTGAAATCCCCCTTTTCACTCAACTGGTGCTAAATTTGGGATTCAATTCCAGAATGCTCAATTATGTATCCCCAGACATTTCATGCAGCTGCCTCACAACCTCCATTTAACTCTATAGCCTCACAACCTCAATTTTACTCAATGGTTAACAAACATTTGTTAAAAAGTAAGAAAACTGAATTACCTATTAATATTGATCCATACATAGGACTGATTGTTTCTCCTAGTAGATTCTCCAGAAATAGAGGGAAGAAATTACTGTTGAAATGGCAGTGAAATACCTGAAATAAAGAACAAGACAAATTACCATATTGTTATATTTCATTTATCAAAGAGTTCATTAGTGGCTAGAAATAAGATAACTCAGAGACAAACCGCAAGGTTAAATGGGCTGTCTGCTTAGCATCATGATTCAACTTTTCAAAATACATTGCATGTACATGTATCCTGAACTGTAGGTGGGGCAAGTTAATCTCAAAAGTGGAGTGACCCCAAATTGAAAAAGAAACCAATGCGAGAAAGATAGAGAAATGGGGTTTAACGTCCATTCAAAACAAACCAGGTCAATTCGGGACCAACACATGGTTCAATTTTATTTCAATAATTCACATGCGTGTAGGGTTTTTTAGGAGTGGGCAGAAACCGGAGAAAACCCACGAGGTTAGACAGGTGACCCTACTCCTTGTCACGTACAACCGGGATATCGAAACCATGCCAGCTGACTCAATGACAGACCTTATGATACAGCCTGCACATGCTAACCAATCGGCCATCCAACCCCCCAGAAACCAATGCAGTCAAGGCGAAATCTGCATTCCATTGGTAGGCTATTAAAAAGATTTTTTTTTAAAATCTTACAATACAAAGTGCTTATAGAGGCAAAATGTTCTCACAATAACAAATTTGACCAAATCGATTTTTCAAAATGGCTGCCACATTTGGTAATAAAATGACATTGTCACCGAATATAACCAGTCACTATCTCAAAAGATATGACTTTTACTATGTCTTTTATATGGTTTTCGATGTCTCTGAATTTAAAAATAAAATTTGAAAAACAAACATGGCAGAATTTCAAAATGGCAACCAAAATGGAATCCATAATGGTGAATTTTATAGTGATCATTATTTTTCATGGTTGGATACAGCTTTTAACCTGTCTTTCGCAAGGTTTTCGATGTCATTAGGTTGAATTCTCATGTCAAAAAGTCCAAAATGGTGGATTTTTAATTATCATTTTCATCAGTTATATATGTCCTATAATATATAAGGTTTTTAAGGTTATTGAATTAACTTCCAACTCATAAAACTACCTTTGAACAGCCCAGATGGTATAAATTAAAAACGGCAATCAAAATAGAATCCATAATGGCAATTTTCTCCATGTGGATATTGCTTTTAAAATATATCTAATAAAATTTTCAGGGTTTCTAAATTCTATTTTGGGTTCAAATATAAATTCAAGAAATCCAAACATCTGTTTCGTGTTAACACAAGGTACAATTTTATGGATACACAATTACTGAGTTTAAGTTTAATACTAAGCGACGTTTTGACGAGGATACTCTCGTCTTTATCAAGCAAATGATGTTTTTTTGGGGTGCAATTTTCTTCATTTTGTATGTTTTTGCACCACCTTCACCTGGGTTAAAAGTGGTTTTCGTATATCTAGTTGTTAATACACATTTAAACAGCAATTAAATATGGCCTACCCCCAGTAGCACTTTCTCTCAAACTAAAAATAAATTGTTTATTGGAATTTTCTATGAAGCAGAAATTAGCTGAGAATCAGATATCTTATATCAGTCAACCCATTTGTTTTCAGGACACTTTATTTGACACAAAATAGGATTTTCTATCCAGGTGGACCTTCCATTTAAACAACATTTAAATATGGTCTACCAATTGTAGCACTTTCACTTCAGACTAAAATTAAATTGTTTATTGGAATTTTCAATTAAACGAAACTTTCTTGTAGCTGTAAAATACTCAACCAATATGCCCCCCCTTAAAAAAAGGAGTTGGAAATGGAACCCCTCATGGAGCAGGTATCTTATAGACCAATAGGATAGTAACCACAGGTTCATTTCTGTATTTATGTATTGTCTAATGTCCATTGCTGATGAAAAACAGAATTACTGTGTAAATATCAAGAGTTTGTTGTGAAATGAATAACCGACAGAAATGAACCTGTGGTTACTATCAGTCTACATGATACCAGGGACGGACCGGGTGGTGTGGATCCCAGAACCAGGCCTCGGAAGGTGTTACCACTTTATGGAGTGACAATCTTACCAGAAATTAATTTTTGAACCCAATATTGAATTGAGTAATCTTGTTTTACAAGCAATATCCTCAAGAATAAAAATCAGTGTTTTTAGGTAGAAATTGAACTCAGCATCCTCAAAACAGTTATATTACAAGCCATATCCAACGGAAGCAAATGATGATTAATTAAAATTCTGCCATTTTGAATTTCATTTTGAATTTCTGCCATCATGGATTCTCAAAAATTCATGTTACAAGTCATATGCACTCAAGTTACAAGTCATATGCAACAGGAAAAAATGATGATTTTAAAATCCACCATTTGATTGCTGTTATGTTGGATTTTTGAAATTTATCTTCAAATTCAGAGACATCGAAAACCATATAAAAGACATAGCAAGAGTCATATCTTACAAGATTCTCACTGGTTATATGGGAAAAAATTGGCAGTCATTTTGAAAGAAATAGCCAGCATCATATGCAAAATACATTTTTTGAATTTTTTTTACTTGTCAAATTCATTTTTTCAGCACATTTCATCTCTATAAACAGAAAACACACGTTTTACTATAGTATATTAAAATAAAGGTAAAAGCATTTGTGTATTCAATATCTAATTTTCTTGTTAAATTTGTGACCTACGTACAAAACGACAATTGTACTAATTGATAAACAGAGACCTCCAGCCTATGCAATCATTAGATCATTCTCTAGAATTCAATCTACTCATTCCACACTTTTAGACCTACCTGTATTAAGTTCATCACAGAAAATAACAGAAAGTTTTTATGTTGTAAAAGTTGATAAATATAAGATTTAAAAGTTTGGTGACCAGGCTTGATTTCATCATCCAAATTCATTTCTTTGCTGTAATTATAAAATAAAATAAGAGAAAATGATTTTATATGCTGCTAAAAAGAAAAATATTTTTTTTATGGTTACCATGTACAGATTTTTCTTGATCTGTGGGATTGATTTTAAATTTTAGCAAACCTTCAAATCAAAACAAAACAATTTCGGCTTTTCAACGATAAATGTCTTTTGGCTCAATCAATGTACACTTGACAACAGACTTGAACATTTTATCAAGAAAACGTAAAATATTTTAATCTTACCTAATAGTATTACATGTACCTATTACATCAGGGAAACCATGATGAAAATCGCTTGTAGATTTCTGTGATTCTTTTGAAGAGGTATAATAACTTTTTAACAAGGAAGACACAAAAAAAAATCCTAAAAATGAGACAAAGGCCACAACAGCACAATAAATTCTAAAACTATTTAAATTTTCTTTATCCCATATAGCATAGGATAGAAACACAGTTGCTGAGCCAATGGCAGCAAAAACAGAACATTTAGAATTGAGCCTAGTTCGAATTTCTGCAGAAACAGCTAAATCTGCTAATAAGGCTGAATGGTGAAGATCAATCAGAGTTAAAAATCCATCATAAAGACACAAACAAATAACAAACTGAAGCCACGGAAACGTCCACGAGATCCAGAAACCAAGGAAAGATAAGGCAAATAATGGACCAAATCTCTGTAAAAAAGATAATCTCTGTAACACTACGTCATTTCCTTTCTGAGCACTTGTATTTAAATATTTGCTGTCACTCATCCATCCAAATAATGGATCATTACAAGAGTTCCAGATTAAAAATATTGTTTCTCCGATCCAGAATGATGTCTTGTCGATGCGATAAACAGACACAAAGATTTCTACATGATACAGAAGAAAAATGTTGTGGACAATGGTGATGAAGAATGACATTGAGCCATAGCAAATATCAGCTGGGATTTTATACGTTCTCATTTTGAAGGCAGCAAAGGTATTTTATGACCTTTTCCTCTCCAATTCGACTAATCAAGCTAGGTTGTCATCTAGCATATATGTATCAGCACCTAATAAATATAAGAAGAGAACATTAGGAAATATAATTAAAAAATTCTAGGCTCATTTGAAGGGTATGTTCTTGTATTTGTAGAATTATAAATATGACTTTATAGAATAAATTTTTCAAAACCATTACAAATTGAATAGTTTAGTACTGTAAATTCATAAAGATATTTCTCACTCTGATAATTAAACATACATTATGCAAGAGTTAAATCTGCCTAATGCAGGTCTTTCTTTAGGCCTGAAATGTTTTCTAGATTATTAATTAGACATTAACTAACTTATCCAGGCCATAATCAACTCTTTATGGCATCAGATTTCTCCAATATTAAATAGATTAGAACAGTTCAGCCATATTTTGATTTAAGCTAAAAATGGAGGAGCGAGACTTAGCTTCGAACAACCAGTACGGTGGTTTAAATTATTGAACATGTCATGCCAAACCCTCAAAGGCTAATATCTTCACTCGCAATAAAGTAATTTGAATGAAATTTTCAAATTATTCATTTCACATTATCTATTTTCGAACTATTATAGCAAAAATGGCTATCACTATCACTTTATCTAAATCTTACATAATGTATCTTTAAGCTTTTTAAAAAATTTAGTACCAGCATCACTACCTGTAGGCCTAGTCCTGTAATAATTATCAAATGACTCACATACAATATTTTCTGAGTTGTATACATGAGCAGACAGAAAATCACACAAGTTACACGTTATTATTATTAAGTCTGACAAAACTTTTTGTCCTCAAAATATAAATAAATCCCAAAATTGACTAATATGTTAAAATAGCTACACCTCTTTAATTTGGGTCAAAAATAAAATTACTGATTTCATTGGATTTTACATTCTGATTTATGCCAAAATTTAAATTAAAATTAGTTAAAAGGCTGACTTTTGCTTAATCTATCGAACAAAAAATTTAATCCTATAGAGATTGTCCCATCACTAATAGTAAGTGCAGGAGGACGGCACTACAGGTAAAAAAAACAAAAATCTACAAGATAAACCTGCGGACAAGACAGAAAATAGATATTACACCAAATAAACAAATATCAAATTAAGTGAATGGATCCGGGGGGTCAGCCGAAAGCGTATCAATATCACATCAGATTAACCCAACTCAATACTAATTTGTCTAATTTGTAAAAAATCAAAGCTGTTTATCTCCAATCGATCAGTTCCTATCAATTTATGACATCGATTGATGAAGTCATGACTGCAGTGCTGATCAAACCTGCTGAAAATAAATAGATGACACGCATTTATAACTTACATATTCATCTTTTTATAAATATCGAGCAATCAAATTGTTTAACCTGAGCAGATATGTTCACTATAAAACTTTATCAAGGTTTTGATGCAATGAAACTATACACCAAGTTTCATCAACCTAAATCAAACAGAATCAGAGGTATAAACTCGATCAAAATATTCACTCAGTGAACATCTTCACCAAGTTTAAATAGTCCAGCTCCATTTTGCTTTGCGTTCCTTTACATTTTTTAAGTTTTTGCCTGGTACGTACATGTAAATGCTTAGCTGATATTTAAAATATTCTGCCATCCTATTTTTCATGCTTTAATTCATGTGGTAAACAAGATTCTGGGATAGAATTTGATGGGGTCAATAGTGTTCACAATAACATAACTTATCACTGTGCCACATTTGATGCTTTTACTATAAAATTGTTATGGAATTATGTATGATTCAGCAGGACTATAAGCAGAATATGTTCATCATCGATGGGGATTGAAGTCAGTCAAGACATTGTTTGATGAACATCTACAACAAGTTCCAACATTCTAGATAGATCTCAATTAAAAGCTGAGTTATTGTGTTCTAAAGCGTGTGGCAAACCGACAAACCAAATTTAATAGTCATCTGCAAGGGACAAAAATAAACATTTATTATTAAGGCCATTTATACAGCCTAATACAAAACATTCTTGCTTAAAGGGCGTATAGCTCTTATTTTGGAACCTTGAAATATACGAAAATGGTTTTAAAATAAGCACATATTAATGTAATATGAATGTGTTCAATTTTGGGAGGGTTGGATGGCCGAATGGTTAGCACATGCGTGCTGTACATGTAGCATGAGGTCTGTCATTGAGTCAACTGGCGTGGTTTCGATTCTCCGGTTGTATGTGACAAGGAGTAGGGTCGCCTGTCCAACCTCGTGGGTTTTCTCCGGGTCCTCTGTTTTCCTCCCACAGCTAAAGACCCTATGCACAAGCGAATTAATGAAAAAAAATTGAACCATGTGTTAGTCCCAAAATGACCTAGTTTGTGTTGAGTGGATGTTAAAACTCTCTCTCTCTCTATTCAATTTCTGAAAAAAATATTGTAATTTCTAATCAATTATGTTCAGTGAAATACCTTGATGACGCCTGCTTAATCCATTCTACACTTTTTAAGCTTTCATGTGTATTACTCAAAACTAGGTCATTTCAGGACTAACTTTTCAATTTTCTTTCAAAACTTTGCATCCTGTAGTCTCTTCAGCAGTGGGAGGAAACTGGAGGACCAGGGGAAAAACCCAAAACTTGGATCAGACAACCCTACTCCTTGTACATACAACCAGGGAATCAAATAAATATTCTAATCTCATGTTGGACAAAATGAACAGAATATGGCAAGGAACAATGTTCAGTCATTCAGATCGAACAAAAATTGCTGTACCTCCTACACATTACCCTGCAACATTAAGAACCCTATTGTCATCCACATAAAAGAATCATTGCAACATTCGATATAAAAGCAGGCCAGAGCGCTGCTGACCAAAATAAATTTCCAACATAGTTCACTGCATGACCCATGTCCGTTTCATCAGACTAGTTAGAGGTTGCTGAGATTCTTTATATAACCAACAGAAGTGACTGTAAATATGAAAGCTTTCATAGCTGCTTTGCAGATCTTGTTTATTATTATATTTATATTGTGTACTGATTATAAAATGTTCATTGTGTCTTAAATATTGAATTTTAGCATATTAGGATCCTATATTTTCATGATAAGATAACAACATCAATATTGATTGAAATTGACCAATATTGAATTTTAATTTGTTTATGTAATTTTGAATATTATGGAAAATATTGTGTTAGAGATTTAGCTCCTCAATCTAAAATTCATTTATACAACCAAGCTTACCGGTATCAGTAATTACATATATATATATTATGATTTGACATAATATGTCTGGCAATGTGATATTATGATTGTGAAGTGCATACAAGGGCGTGGATTTGTCATAACTTTTGGCGGGGACGGATGAACCCTGGAACCTGGAACATTTCATTACCAAACGAAATAAATAATTACGAACAGTTTACTGTACCAGTGTTACTTTGATGAAAGCTGTAACTAGGAGTAATATGATGACAATATGGAAAAACTGACTACCTACATCAAAGCTGCATAAATATTAATTGTTCATGAAGTTAAGTGAATCGTCAAAAGACGTTCGTTCTACGATCAGGACTGTTCTCTTTGAATATCTTGGCGACATGAAGGGGGGCATTATGCACAGCACACGCCATCAAGTGGTTCACTCGGTTTTGCATCATGGAGTTGCGCAGCCAAGTTTTGATACGCCGCAGAGTGCTGAAGGATCGCACGGCTGAGCAGGTACTAGCAGGGTTCACCAGTGTGAGATGAGAAGAGCTTCGACAGAAGGGAACATCTGCACAAGTGAAATAGATTTGGCAAAAAACTGGCGCTTGAAGAATGACAATACTTGTTCTAAGTCCCGATTCAGTTCCAGATACGTAGAAACAAGCTCACCATCATGTGGATATAAACCTGAAAATCTGTCCTGGCAATTAAAATCATGGGGGGGGGACAGACCTATTCGTCCCCCCCATAGAATCGGAAGGGGGGGGGGACGTCCTCCCCATCCCTAAATCCACGCCCATGTGTGCATAGAGTATCTTAGGATGATTAGCACTATATAAATGTCTTATTTTTTTTATTATTATTATCACTAGCTATAATATACTCAATTTACATGAATAAATTTTCTGATTGATATAAAATCTTTGCCTCAGGGTAGCCTACATGTATTTGTAACCTGCTTAGTTTAAGTTATTCATCACTATAAATTGATTTAATGTTCATATAAGTATAACTACCAGTAGGCTATACCAATCTGTTTCTCAGCGGTAATGCAAAAGCCTTTTTTTAACTCGCACCGATGTATTCCCTTTCAACAGTTTGAAGCTATTCCTATTCCTGTGTTTTATACAGTCGTGAAAATATAAAAACAATGATATACACAAAATGTGATCATGTGTAGAGAGAGAGAGAGAGAAAGAGAGAGAGAGAGAGAGAGAGAGAGAGAGAAATGGGGTTTAACATCCACTCGACACAAACCAGTTCATTTCGGGACTAACATATGGGTCAATTTTATTTCAATAATTCGCTTGCGCATAGGTGTCTTTAACAGTGAGAGGAAACCGGAGGACCCGAAGAAAACCCACAAGGTTGGACAGGTGACCCTACTCCTTGTCACGTACAACCGGGGAATCAAAACCACGTCAGTTGACTCAATGATAGTGATAGACCTTACAGCGCATGTGCTAACCATTGGCCCTTCAACGCCCAGGATCATGTGTAAAAGATTACTGTATGATGTACAATTGTACTGAACAGTGACTAATTAACAGTGGGTCTACTCATTGATAATACCGGTATTAACTATGCCTACGTGAATAAAAACAAATAATAATGGCATCAATATATCATTTTAGATCAGATATCTATATGCTTGCTAATCAAATTCAATGATGTCAATGGGCAGAATCTGAAATTCGTTGGTTACCGTTTCTCTAACGTTGTACGTCTCATAAAATCATATCTACACTTGATTTAAAAAAAAATATAGATAGATGATAATAATTTAATCCATCAGCCTATAAGGATCTAACTTAGTCTTAATTACTATTATTATTTAAGGAAGAAATTGTTTGGCTTGTTTCATATCAATATCGATCGACAGTAGCCTACCACAAACAAGGAACTGACTCCATATTTAACTTACAAAAGCTGGATTAAGTCGTCTGCGAAATGTTGACTCATCCTAATCACTCCATTCAGTAATTATTCCCCGTCGTATGCCACCGTATGTGACACTATACTCACTGTCAACTTCACACCTTAGGAAAACACTGACGTCACGTGACTGCGAAACAAGAGTTACATCCCTTTTGACAGTTCACGTATACTAGAAAAAATGTTTGGTAGGATCGGTGTATTCTTGATCTTCGATGAACATAATTATTGTTTATATTCATACCAATGAATAATTAGTGACATCAATATAGGCCTATTTCGTATTTTGACATTACATCTGTTAAATCAATATTTTTTTTTTTTTTGCTATTATTACTTTTTTGTAAAAGCTAGTAAACGGAGTTACCTCCCATTGCCATTAGGCTAGACACAAAAAGATGATTTTTAAATCGTATTTAATTCTAATTGGTTTCTGAATATACAATAAGTTGAGCTCAGTGTTATTACTGTTAATAGATTGTTTATTGCGACATTGTAGGTCACTACATAGATACAGTGCTGAATAGGAATATAAATGTGCTAGGGGAGACAACCATGCATTTGAATGATTTGGGGAAAAATGTAGTCTGTAGATCACTGATTTTCCAGTTCCCACGATAACATATGGTTTCCCATCCTTCAACATTACTTGCGTGACATTTTAGTCATTTAATCACATGTAATAATTCTCCAAGTTAGAATGGGGTTGGTCTATTGTATGGCCCACTCCAATCCTCTAAAGTTGTGTCAATAGGCCTACCCAATATGCCTTAAAGCCTAAATATGGTGCCTGTTAAAGGGAGAATAACACTCTTGCTGGCTTGACAGCTCCAAAAAATAAAAATTAGCCTTATTCTAAGTACTAGATGTGTTAGTGTCCTACATGTTGTGTAAATTATCCATTAAATCCTATTTTACTTGTCCAGAGGGTTCAAAAATATTTTTAAATCCAAGTCACATTTGAAAAGCTTTACATCAGGCTTTTCAAATCATTTAGTTGAATTTTTCCAATTTTTTTAAAAAAGGTGTGTTAAGATGAAATTTGTATCATCAATTAATTGGAATATTGTAAAATAGTGCAATTTGTTGACCAGAATAAAGATTGGGAAATATTATTCAGTTACAACAAGATTGGTATTGAGCCTTTAAAACTGATTGTGATATCTTTGTTAAAAATCTGGATAAACCTGAGACGTAAAAAGAAACAAACTATAAATGCAATAATTCTTTCACATTAGCAAGACTTTATTTTATGTAACTTATATGAGGAAAGTAAAGGCAATAGGCCTAATAATAATAACTAAAAATAGTGATAAATCATTTTACGATATGCATAGACATAATATACCAGCCTGGGTTATCTCGTTATGGACATATACTACACTACTGTACAGTTTTGACTCTTTCCTAGCCTGTTTGATGGTTGATGTTCAGGGGATAGTCACATGTTGAGAAGAAAGTCAGAAAGATAAGGCCCCACTTTTACCATTTTGTCTACCACACTTTCGAGGGTTTGGAAGTTTTTGAGAACTTCACACAGATTTCAGACTTTTGCCTAAAAGTCTTTTACTGTAAAACAAAATTAAATTTTGGTTCATTAATGCACCCTACAGTACAAACCTTTCGAATATTAACAAAACCCTTTTGAATCTGTTTTCATGAAAGTCATCTAACGACTTTAGGATTTATTTCAGGAAAACACCACTCAAATTTTGAAAGGGAGAGTTTCTAATGTTTCTCTCCATATTGCTCTTTTAAAATAATCTTGTAAAACCAGCGAGAAAATTCTTGGTTTTATAGGTCTATACTTCATTTTCTTTTGAGTCTGTGGTAAATCAAGAGGTGTAACAATCACGTTTAAAGAGACACAAGTTGAGACCTAGTTTGTAGTTTGAAAGTTAGACCACTACTAATAGTAATATGGGTGTAGTTCGGTTCACAATCCTGTTGTTTCATATTTAAAGTTGCAATTTCATATTTTTAAGTTATATTTTTAAAATTTATATTTAAAATAGATGGTATCTATGAACAGTCCTACCTTGTTAAAGAATAATCCTATTAATCCTATAATTCACTACTGCCAGTTGAGAAATTGTCAAAAATATCATTTTCATCTTCAAATTCAAACGTTTGAAGATAACTACTCCATGGTGGAGAATAGAAAACAAGGGAGGTAATTGGGAGGTAATTGTGTTATTATTTCCGGTGTATATGATTTTTAAGTATGAGAATGACACCTATGATAGTATAATAGTGAGTTGACAACCTATTGAGCAAAAGACATAGAAATAATTATGTTTTGACTTTCTTAGAAAATATGAAATTGTAACTTTAAGTCCCAAGAAGTATTTCTGTAGAGTAATAATACATTGTATATAGACTTCAATAGCTCTTAGCATTTCTGAAATCGTACATCCCAAACCAATCCAAAATAGGTTTTTAATACTGATTATTTATTTACATCTATTTATAGAAATTTGTTTTGCACAAAAATATCACGAATAATCTTTTCTTCTGCATCAGTAACTGGTAGTAATGGAGATCTAGTAATTCCACCATAATAACCAAACCATTCCATAGCTCTCTTTAACCCAGCAACACCATACATCTTTGTTATCTAAAATTTACAAAAGAATTACACAAATTTCCTTCATAACATAAAGATAGCCACGCAAAGCATGAAAATATGCCCTCACAGCAGGTATGTCTTTTAAAGTCTCTAAAACATCTTATTCAAAAGGAGAACTTGGATATTCCATTGACCAAGAAATCTAATCATTATCAGACTGATTATTATATTTTCCTATTTATTCAAAACTATTGATAACACTTACTGAAACATTTGGAGCAATCATTCGAAACTGTAATTCTTTCGCTTCTTGAAATTTTCCATCTTTGAAGAGTTGAACAAGCTGACATAATTCATCACCCAAGATGTTAGCGAGAGCACAAACACCGCCTACACACCCTATTAATACAAATGCATCATATTATTTATAAATTGTTTTTTCATTTAAGATGTGCAGCAGCAGGTTCTAAATTAAGCTTACACTTCTAGAACCTCTAATATGTATATGTAGTATAAGTTCACATTGCCAACAATTAATTGTTGCTGCACTTTTATACCTGGTAGTTTTGACTTCAAAATAAAAAATTAGATGGGATGTCGGCTTATTTACAGAATTAAATATTGGTACCAACAAACACCAGATAGGATTCTTACTCTTTTTGGCACAGCCAATACTACTTTCCACTGGATTTATTCAAGTGGGTGCCTGAAGCTATCCTTGTTACTTCACATAACATAACAGCTTTGAATTGATTGTAACATTTATAGGTAATGTTAGTTCTTTTGAGCATTGTTTAAAATTGTTATATGTCTGTCTGTATGTTGTTGCAGTTTTCCAACATACCCTAAAAAGGAAATAATGGCTAGAGTCCATGAAGCCTTTTTTATCAACTTAGGAATCACTCAAATTTTTAACTGACTCAACACCTTTACTGGCTTTATTAATAGAATAGATGCAACACATTTTTTTATTGTGTTGACATATCGGTAATAAATATTTATAGTACATGTTCTTTAAATTAGTTATTTTACAAAAGAGGCTAGTGAGAAGCAACTGAAATTTGAGTTAATATTGAGGTGGACCAAAAAATGATTTATGGCTAATGTGGTCCCTGGAAAAGAGTAATTATATAAATTAACAACTTACCAACACTATAGGCTGGAAATATAAAACTAGCAGAACCAGCTAATACTTGGAAATCTTCACTCTGAGTTTTGTAAACTAGGCTAGCAAGTTTAGAAATCTGAAAAACAAAATATTTAGCTTTAATTCCTCAAGTTAATAGTAAGTGCAGGGGTACTGTAAAATATGTATAACACTGTTTTTAAGAGAATGAGGGTACACAGATATAGGTCCATGTAAATTATGTAATTGTTATCACTTTCATAAGTTGTCACAGATTCTCAGTACTTTGTACTTTCTTTCAAAATTCTTAATACATAACATGAATTCTCATGCGTAGTACTCAATTTTACTCATGTTATAAGTGTTTTCTGACCATCAGAATTCTGTAAAATCTGTCCAGGACATGGCATTTCAGGGACTTAAGATTCAAAACTTTCTTCGGGGGAGCATGCCCCCAGACCTCCCTAGGAAGCTTGCACCTGCGGTGCTCAGATTGTGGCTGTGTCACTCGTATTAGGGGCCTGTGCATCAGTTATCTAATTTTTGCTACCCCCTCCCCCAAAACAAAATTGATATATACACCCCTGCCTATAAACCTCATCCTTATAAACCTCTTGTTTTGGCTGTTCCATTTTTCCACTGTATCAGGAATGTTTTGAAATAATAAAACATTTCTAGTTATTGTGTTTTAAATTGACAAATAGGAACATCTTCCAGGATATGGATTTCTCTGCCAATCAGTCAAGACTGGTTTGTATGAACCCCAGTATGAGCAGTATGAACTACACCCTTAACTTACTTAAAGTCAAATTTTAGATAGTTAAACTAGACATATAAAATATATCTTACATCTCCACCACTGTCCTTTATCCCTATTATATTAGGATGTGATGCCAGGTGTATAATAACATCAGGTGATAAATCTATACCTGTATTGGCAGGTACACTATATAATATCACAGGCACCGAACTATTATCAGCTACCTGTAAAAAGAGCAAAGCAAATTAGAAGAACACCCTTATAACTTAATTGATTTACATCTAGATGTTGCTAACATAATAATACAAAACCTTACATGTTTTTTTGTTTTATTTCATTCAAAGTTTTTATATTTAGTTTATGATGACAATTTAAAATCTCTGAAAGTTATTTGAGTGATTGAGAAATCCCTTTTTGCACACTATAATATAGTGAACGTGGAATGTCTCAAGGGAATATCAGTCCAAACATGTTTAAATTCTGTTATTTACAAAGATTTAATGAATTTAAAATTTGTTGGCATTCAGCATCTTCTAGTACAGGATATGCTCAAAATAAGCCAGTGCCACATTATCATCTTCATTAAAATCTTTTTATGGGCTTGTTTTAATCTGATTGAATCCAAGCTATGAGATTATCTACCATATTTTAATTTATTTTTTTAATCAAATGTTAATAATCGGTATAGAGGCCCTTTTAGAATTGATTAAGCCATAAAAAATTAGATATTGTCCAAAAAATGCAATCTGTTACCATTGCTAAAATTATTTGATGGGCTACTTTTTAATCTTATGAAATTTAATTCAGGAGATTATTTACTGTTGATATTGTTCATTTCAGTTTAATCTATGTTATTAAAACCCGCCCTCACAATTAATTAGTAAATGTCTAAAATGATGTGCTAATCTGTGTATTTTATAATATCTTAATTATATAATTTTAAATCATTTGTTTTCAAAATTCTTTGTTTGGTATCTCATTGTATTTTACATTATATTAATTTACTATATGATTATTTATGTATCAGATAATAAGATTAAGGTCATGGGTAAAAAACGTGATTCATAATAAATTATTATTATCATTATATAGACCTAGGCCCAAATTAGGCTGTCAATGAAAATCCTTTAGTTGATTTAGTTCAGATCACATTCCTGAGGAAAAACATTATTTATTTGTATTTTTGTTTTCTTAATTAAATGTTAATTTAGATAAAGAGCTGGCCGTTCTTGCTATAATAGTTCAAAAATAGACAAGTCAACAGTGAGGCTGATGTCCCCCCGCTGAAATTCCCCCCAAAAAACAGATGACATATATTAATTGCACATTTATTTTTTTCAAAAGTATCGAGTAATCAAACTGATATTCTATGCTTAATCTAAGCATAAAATGTTCACTATCAAACTCAGGTTTTGAAGTACTAAGTTTCATCACTCTCCATCAGTAAGAATCAAAGTTATCTTGTCCCAAAGCATCGACCAAAGAAATTGCTTAGCTCTGCTTAGCTTTCATGGGAAATATTAATCATTGAACTCGGTCAAGACATTCGCCTAGTGAACATCTATACCTCAATTAAAAGCAGAATTGTTATGTTCCAAAGTCTTGACCAATCAAATTGATTATCGCTACTTAGCCTAAGCAGAAAATTCTGATCATCGAACTTATTAATCAATGTACTGATATAATGAATCTATATCATCGCTCTCACACAATTAGAATCAAAGTTATCGCGTTCCAAAGTCTCAACCAATCAAATTGCTCATCTCTGCTTAGCGTTAGTGGAAAGTGCACATGAACGAACTATGTCAAGGCATTCACGTAATAGACACCTACACCAATTTTGAACATTCTACCTCAATTACAAGGAGAGTTATTGTGTTCCAAAGTCTCGACCAATCAGATTGAAGTCTTTACTTTGCCTAAGCAGAAAATGCTCAGCATCGAACCTTGTTAAGGTATTGATGTAATAAAACTATACATGAAGTTTCACCACTATCACTCAATTAGAATCAAAGTTGTTTAGCTCCAAAGTCTCAACCAATCAAATTACTTATCGCTTTGCTTACTCTGAGCCGAAAATGCACTCATAATTAAACTTAGTCAAGGTATTGATATGATAAAACTATACACCAAGTTTCATCACTCTCACTTAATTAGAACCAAAGTTATCGTGTCCCAAAGCATCAACCAATCAAATTGAATATCTCTGCTTACCCTAATCAGAAAATTCTCATCTTCGAACTCCATCAAGGCATTGACCTAATAAACACCTACACCAAGTTTGAACATTCTAGCTCCATTAGAAGGAGTGTTATTGTGTCCCAAAAAGTATGACGGGCATGGACATGCAAAATGAATATATAGAAAATTTCATGCAAATTACTTTATTCTGAGCAAAGATATTAGCCTTTGAAGGTTTGACAAGATGTGTGCACTGATAGTAACCACTGTACTGGTTGTTCGAAGATGATTAATTCGTTAAACATGGCTGAACTGCTATAATCTACTTAAAATCGCACCTATGGCATCATGACTTTATTATGGTCTTGCCATGTTAATAAATGAGAAAGAGAGAGAGAGGGATAGAGATTCAAAATAAACTAGGTCATTTCAGTGCTAACATATGGTGGTTCAATAAAATTTCACTAAAGGACCTGTAGAAGTGGAAGGAGACCATATATATATACTATTCAAAAAAAGTAGGGGATATTTGATTTTGGGGGCATAATACTAAAATATGCAAATGACTACGAAAAAAGACACTATAGAACCTAACAGAAGAAACATTTCCAGTTACATGTGACGTCCAAACGCACCAATAGCTACCGCACGGAATGCAGGTGATGCTTGGGATCATCATGGGGGTCCAACCCAAGATTTGCACGACTCTGACTTTGAATGTTACAGTCATTGTGGCATTGAATTCCAGGGTGGAAACATCAGTTTAATTGTTTTAGTGACCAGAAAAAAATTTTGATATGCGTCGGCTTACCCAAAATGAAAGGTTACGTGCCCTTGGCATGCTACAGATCGGCACAACACAGGCGGTTGTGGCGCGGACGATGAATGTTTCTCAGTCTGTCATAAGCAGGCTATGGTCCAGATACCGTGATACACAATCTGTACAGGACAGACCACGCTCAGGTCGACCAAGGGCGACAACTCAAGCCCAGGATCGATTTATCCGTACCTTGGCCTTGAGAAATCGTGTCATCACAGCAAATCAGATCAGCGCTCGTCTTCAAACAGACACTGGTGTGAGAGTGAGTGGCCAGACGATTCGGAATCAACTGCATAGGGGTCACCTTCGCGCCCGACGTCCTCGCGTGATCCCTTGTTTGAGAGATCATCACATTCAGGCAAGACGTCGTTGGTGTAGGGATCGTCAACACTGGGATAATCGACGCTGGAGCGATGTGATGTTTTCAGATGAGTCAAGGTTCACTGTTGATTTTTTGGACAGACGTAGGAGGGTGTGGCGTCGTCGAAACGAGCGCTTCCAAGACGTTAACGTCATCAGACATGATCGAATTGGGGGTGGTTCTGTTATGGTGTGGGGAGGCATCACTGTTGCTGGAAGAACGGCTTTACATGTTGTTGCAGGGCGTGTTACAGGCCAGTACTACCGGGACAACATCTTGGCAGTCCATGTTGTGCCGTTCGCACGACGTCATGGCCGCCGTTTCATCTTCCAGGATGACAACGCAAGATGTCACAGGGCCAGGATCGTTACAGGTTACCTCCAACAACAGAACATCACCACATTACCTTGGCCAGCACTGAGTCCCGACCTCTCCCCCATCGAGCATGTCTGGGACATGCTTGGACAGAGGTTACGTCAACGTCAACAACGTCCTGCCAATGTCCAAGAACTTGCTGCTGCGTTGCAACAGGAATGGGACAATCTGGACCAAAATGACCTTAGACGTCTCATTAGGAGTATGCCACGTCGGATCAATGCTTGTTTGGCAAAAAGAGGAGGATTTACCCGTTACTGACTTGGTTGTGATGCTGTGGTAACTTTGCTGTTTGACCCCGGGTATCATTTTACCCTTATAATGGTCAGTCTGTGCCTTACTTAGTCTAACGATCATTTGGAATAAATCGATGAATGTGAACTTCATTTCATTTTGTCATTTGTTTCTTCGTCAGTTTCATTAAGTGACTTTAATAACACTTAAAAATCAAATATCCCCTACTTTTTTTGAATAGTATATATGGTTCAATTAAATTTCAATAAAGGACCTGTAGCAGTTGGAGGAAACCGGACTAACATAATTTCAATTGAATTTCACTAAAGTGTCTTGAGCAGTGGGAGGAAACTGTGGATGACCCACAGAAAACCCACCAGGCTGGAAAGGCGACCCTGCTCCTTGACATATATAAGCAGGGAATCGAAACCATGCCACTTGACTCAATGAAGGACCTTATGATCTAAAGCATACATGTGAAACCATTCGGCCAGCCCCCCTGCTCCTAGTTTTAAAATGAAAGAGTTATCAATTAATATAGAGAATATCAGACATCTGTTTTAGATGTCTTAGGCCTTTGTCATGGAAAGTGCCAAAAAATGGGGGTTTTTTTCAAAGAAGTGATAACAATTTTCAAAATACTTTTGCTGTAACCCTAAACATGCAGCACATGATTTATCACATATTTAGTGATATGGTCAGCTTCTCCGAAAGTGTCAAAGAAAGAAGATTTAATATTTACCTTTGTATAATGTTGTATTAAAGCCTGGTTTGTCATTCTACCTTTATAATAACATGGTGTTACAACTAATACAGCTCTAGCACCAACATCAGCCATTCTATTAGTCATCTCTATAGTATCTCTAGTAGCTAAAATATAATACACACAATAAATATCTTACCACTGATCAGAAAATACAAAATGAAATGAAAAGGGATTTAATGTCTTCAGCACTGAAAAAGCTGGTGAGGTTAGGAATCAGGAATGACGCAAAATGGTCTTACTCTTATTTTCGATCTCGGTTAATTTATTCTGTCTGAACAATTAGACATTTTTGTCTAGCCAGGGCCTAGCCGATCTATACTGACAATACAAAATGATAAAATTATGTTCTGATCATTCCTAGCCAAAAGCGAGAGAGATAGGAGGGGAGAGAGAGAGAGGGGGGTTAACACCCGCTGGAAACAAACTAGGTCATTTCGGGACTAGCATGGTTGACAATAAGAACAATTAGATCTGAAGTCGATTTTACTGCCACCAGGATCCTGTGGTCAAAAGAAGGGAAAAGACCAACAGGGGTTTGAATACTAGCTTTACTTGTTTGAAATATAAACAGTAAAATTGGTTTTCAGCCATACACAGAGATTTGGTCCCAAGAAACGATGTGATACCAAAATATGAGTCTGTGCAACTCTTTAACATCATGTACAATTTGAACCAAAGATTTCCAAGTTGCTCTAAATATAGGCTATATATAGATTAGGTCCAGGTTAGTCATGATTCTGGTAATCTATATGACCTGATAAATCATAGTACAAAATACAATGAAGAATTATTCCAATTTCCATAGGAATTATATTAACCAATTCTACTCACATTCACATCCTGATCCAGCTATTATAAGTTTATCTTTAGCTGCCCATTCAGATGCCTTCTTTACAACTTCCACTCTTTCATTAGGTGTAAGAAAGGTATATTCACCATTAGATCCTTCCACTACATATCCTAAAATATCAAATTTAAACCTAAACCTTAAACAGGTGCGGATCCAAGAGATGGGGGGGGCGTGCCTATTATTTGCAGTAGCGAACAATTTTTTGCCCTATATATTCTCGCGGGAAAGGAGAACAAAAATACTTAAAAATGGTAGTGATCCCCGTGTAAGTCGGCTGTCCCTGCAAATGTGTCCTTGTATTGAGCCGATTGGTGACTTGGTTGATTGCCCGTCAGTCTGCCCACCACGAACCTGGATTCGCACTCCCAAGTGGGGGAAGCATGCCCCCCCCCCTTTCTGAAAATCCTGAAACTGCCACAGTTAAATGTTCCTTTTGGATGATATCTATTACAATTGTTGATATCATAAATTCTAAAAAAAAAAAGGGTTGCTGGGCAGGGCATCTCATAGCCAAAGTAACATTATCTGCCCCACCCCCACTACTAACTTTTTAGATCTTCTCCTCTTTCCACTTTACACTGCAATTATTAAAAAAAGTCTTTTGCTTTTTTTTTTTTTTTTACAAAAATAGGCTACCATGCATAGGCCTAATTAGTGTAAAGTTTTAAAAACAAACCTAGCACTAAAACCTAGGCTATACACCCCGCCATACTCAAGATTGGCCTTAATAAAGCCATGGACCGTTTATTAGATATACGGACTATGGCAAAGCACAAAATCATGATAAATAAAATAATAACTTAAAGGCCTTTACTTTACAAACCTTTCAGTGGAATTTTGTTCCAAATCTGAATGTTCTTTTCAAGTTGATCAAATGCCACTGATTCATCTGTATTAAATGGTGTTGGAATTGGCGGGTAGATTCCACTTATATCTAACGTTGATATACTACGTTTTCCCGCCAAATTTGAGAGCAAGCGTACATCGTGAAGAATTTCACACTTTCTTGATTTCTTCACAGCACCGAAGACTTTATACAGAAAACTTCTTGTCAGGCTGCTCATTTTGTAGGGTGCAAAGCAATCTATGTCAGGTAGTAACAGTATATTATGATATTAAGGTTAACAGCCAGCTAGATAGAGAGATAAAGCACAGGTTTTTTAATGCATGAAATCACAGTTCAAGGTCAAACCATTATCTTTAATTTGCAAATTTACAGTAACCTGTCCTATTCAGTTAGAGATAAGAGGGTGGTATATTTGGCAGGCAAACTATGGTTGTTTTTTCTGTCAAGATTTCAATAAATAAATAAACCGAATTTGAACCCCTGACTTCAACCTGGTACCGGTAATTTACTTACAAAGAGAACAACGTGAATACCACCTGTCATCTAAAGTAGAGTTATCTCCCTTTAACTAATGAGTGCTGGAATAAATTAACTATAATAAAAAGGACTGTTCAGTCAGACCGGCCAACTCCTCAGAGTTGTATGTAATGCAGTAGGGTAGTGTAAAAAATGCTGTAGAAACCATGATTTTGAAGTAGATTTGCAAAAGCGTGAAAATTCGCACTTCCATAGGTAATTAATTACCAGATTTTTTAGTATTAGAAATATGGGAGGTGGGGGGGCTTAAAAAAAACAGTTTTGCATAACGACCGATATGCAAAGGCTAGGATTTGTCATAACTTTTAAGGGGACCGATGAACCCTGGAATCTGGAACATTTCATTACTAAACGAAATAAATAATTACGAACAGTTATTTCGATGAAGGCTGTAACTAGGGATAATATGATGAGAATATGGAAAAATTGACTAAGCTACCTACATCAAAGCTGCATAAATATTAATTGTTCATGAAATTAAGTGAATCGTCAAAAGACGTTCGTTCTACGATCAGGACTGTTCTCTTTGAATATCTTGGCGACATGAAGGGGGTCATTATGCACCGCACACGCCATCAAGTGGCTCAGTTGGTTTTGCGTCATGGAGTTGCGCAGCCAAGTTTTGATACGGCGCAGAGTGCTGAAGGATCGCTCGGCTGAGCAGGAACTAGCAGGGTTCAGCAGTGTGAGATGAGAAGAGCTTTGACAGAAAGGAACGTCTGCCTCACTTCAGGTGACATAATGAGGAATGCTTCGCGCACAAGTGAAATAGATTTGGCCTAAAACTGGCGATTGAGAATGACAATTCTTGTTCCAAGTCCTGATTCAGCTCCAGATACGTAGAAACAAGCTCACCATCATGTGGATACAAACCTGAAAATCTGTCCTGGCAATCAAAATCATGGGGGGGGGAACAGAGACCTATTCGTCCCCCCCCTTCCGAGTCTAAGGGGCGGGGGACAAATCCACGCCCATGCTGATATGAGTCGAGCAACTTTAAATTTTGAAAATTTAAATGACACAGATGCATTTTACTACTATTCTAGCCCATGGGTCAAGCAACTTTAAAGTTGTTCAATAGTTTTGCAACCAAAATCCCACTCTGTGCCAAACCTACATTCCTAACTAGATGATATTTTGCCAGGCAGAGTGGCTACAGACAAAATGAACAGAGAAGTAAAATTGGTGTTTTTTTATACTTCGGGCATTTATTTTGCCAACTAGATTAATGATATTATATTTTTTCCCCTATAACAATAGCTGAATATGAAACATCTCTAACTTGGGTCAGTCGAGATATTTTCTAATTCTCTGGGCTCATTTATATTCTCTTGTTTACTTGATTGTCATTGAATATTTTATATGTGAAAGCATTTAAATTTAAGAATTTGGTTTATATTTTTACTTCTTAGACATTTCATTTTTTCCCAAAAAAAATGACAAATCATTTCAAATAAACAATGATTTATTTAAAATATAGATCCCCTAAAATGATCTTTTCCCCATAGGATTTAAGTATGAATAACAAAATAACTTATTGGATTATTATTTTTTATTATACAAAATGATGAGATAGGGTGATTAGTGATCATGTGCTGAAATAAATGAATGTTTACATTTTGTACAGATTCATAAAAAGAAAAGAATAAAGGATATAAGAGATACCAAGACAAAAACAATTTTTGACATGAATATATTTCTTGATGGTCATTACTAAAAATATACTATTCAAAAAAAGTAGGGGATATTTGATTTTGGGGGCATAATACTAAAATATGCAAATGACTATGAAAAAAGTCACTATAGAACCTAACAGGAGAAACATTTCCAGTTACATGTGACACCCAAACGCACCAATAGCTACCGCATGGAATGCAGGTGATGCTTGGGATCATCATGGGGGTCCAACCCAAGATTTGCACGACTCTGACTTTGAATGTTACAGTCATTGTGGCATTGAATTCCAGGGTGGAAACATCAGTTTAATTGTTTTAGTGACCAGAAAACAAATTTTGATATGCGTCGGCTTACCCAAAATGAAAGGTTACGTGCCCTTGGCATGCTACAGATCGGCACAACACAGGCGGTTGTGGCGCGGACGATGAATGTTTCTCAGTCTGTCATAAGCAGGCTATGGTCCAGATACCGTGATACACAATCTGTACAGGACAGACCACGCTCAGGTCGACCAAGGGCGACAACTCAAGCCCAGGATCGATTTATCTGTACCTTGGCCTTGAGACATCGTGTCATCACAGCAAATCAGATCAGCGCTCGTCTTCAAACAGACACTGATGTGAGAGTGAGTGGCCAGACGATTCGGAATCGACTGCATAGGGGTCACCTTCGCGCCCGACGTCCTCGCGTGATCCCTTGTTTGAGAGATCATCACATTCAGGCAAGACGTCGTTGGTGTAGGGATCGTCAACACTCGGATAATCGACGCTGGAGCAATGTGATGTTTTCAGATCACTGTTGATTTTTTGGACAGACGTAGGAGGGTGTGGCGTCGTCGAAACGAGCGCTTCCAAGACGTTAACGTCATCAGACATGATCGATTTGGGGGTGGTTCTGTTATGGTGTGGGGAGGCATCACTGTTGCTGGAAGAACGGCTTTACATGTTGTTGCAGGGCGTGTTACAGGCCAGTACTACCGGGACAACATCTTGGCAGTCCATGTTGTGCCGTTCGCACGATGTCATGGCCGCCGTTTCATCTTCCAGGATGACAACGCAAGATGTCACAGGGCCAGGATCGTTACAGGTTACCTCCAACAACAGAACATCACCACATTACCTTGGCCAGCACTGAGTCCTGACCTCTCCCCCATCGAGCATGTCTGGGACATGCTTGGACAGGGGTTACGTCAACGTCAACAACGTCCTGCCAATGTCCAAGAACTTGCTGCTGCGTTGCAACAGGAATGGGACAATCTGGACCAAAATGACCTTAGACGTCTCATTAGGAGTATGCCACGTCGGATCAATGCTTGTTTGGCAAACAGAGGAGGATTTACCTGTTACTGACTTGGTTGTGATGCTGTGGTAACTTTGCTGTTTGACCCCGGGTATCATTTTACCCTTATAATGGCCAGTCTGTGCCTTACTTAGTCTAACGATCATTTGGAATAAATCGATGAATGTGAACTTCATTTCATTTTGTCATTTGTTTCTTCGTCAGTTTCATTAGGTGACTTTAATAACACTTAAAAATCAAATATCCCCTACTTTTTTTGAATAGTATATTACAGAATGAAAATATATTTTTTGAAATCTGCTGATCATCATTTGAGTGATCTTGAATCCCTTGCCAACTACAATACTGTGAAAGCTGGATCTATAAAAGGAATATCAGTCCAAAAATGGTTCAATTCCATACATTATTCACAATTAAAATACAGATGAGACGTCATCCTTTGATGTTGGAATACCATTATTTCAAATAATGGTACGGGCAATGTGTCAAGCGTACATTATTTATACTAGTTGAAATATTGAACCGGCATTACGTATTTCATTGCAAAGCACGTGCAAGTGTCTGTATTTTAAGTTGTTTAATGGTCTCAAGCTTAAGACATTGCTTAATATATTACTTAAACAAGCCAGTGTCACTTATAAATGTTGGATAAAATCTTTTGATGTACCTCTTTTGAATAAGCCAGGAGATTATCTGTCGTTGATATTTTGGTTGTGTCTATTTGTGTACACTTTAGCACGGATTTTTAAAAAATTCACAATTGAGATTAGCAACTTTAATTAATACAATGTAGAAAACCTTAACATGAACAGTACATAATTGCATATTTTCAAGATTCTTGAACTCTGTATGCAAGCCATTTGAATAAATCTAAGTTTTTGTTCCTATAAGAACATAAATGGCACCGGAATTTCTTCAACACTTTGAAGTTGTATACAGACTTAGTAACTTTGTATTGACAAAAAGAAGTACAACAGATTCCCCCAAAAGTGGGATAGGATACCACTTATTCTACAGATTAAGCATCCACTGCTCTTTTTTTTAGTTTTAAAGGGGTAATCGAATTTCAGTTTGTTTCGAATTCTCAGATTCATCTCTTCAGGAAATGATAGCTATAGACAAACTTTAAAGTGGCCCCCATTTATACAATAACCCAGTCGCAAGGATTATTTTTCCTTTTTCTTAAAAGTTATCCTTTTGGCACTTATTGAATGTTTATGGATCTGTTGGGAATCCAAACACTTTCACTGTTCCTGAATCTCGATCTCTGTCATGTTTATCATCACACGCGTATGCCAGTAAATGACGTTTTGGGTGCCAGGCTACCGTAAAAGTGGGAGTATCACACGGAATTTCTGTCACTTTTTCTCCTGAAAATTAAAACAACAAAACTTATTATCTAGCAGCTTTAAAAAAAAGTCAACATTATTCTTTGAACACTCTGAAACTAACTACATAACTTTCTCCAATATAACCTTTCAGTTTTTGGAATACTACTAGCCAATCACTATGACTTACATAGATGAAAGGACTTATTTATAATCTACAGTGCCACCAATTCCAGCTGTATCCTGTTAATATTAACACTTGTTATTCTTTACTACTATGGAGTCCTGAAGCCAAACACAAATTGCAGAATACCAACCTGTTTCTACCATAGCTATATCTATAACAAGATCTTCTGATGCTGAAGCTAATAACTGACCATCATAACTAAAACTTAAAGTTCTCACCGGCCAATCTAACCTGTTAACCATCATAAATATAAAATGACATATCATTATTAATGACACAACAAGCTAGATCGTTCATTTATAATTCAGAAGTTAGTAAGAAGATTCAGTTATCAACATCCTTTGTCATTTTCATGTACACACAAAACTAAGACTAGTTTGTTTCAAACTAAAAAAATTATTAAATCTATCAAATTCTTATAATATATTATAGCTACATGTTTCATAAAGGGATTTTAAACAGTTTATAAGATATATCCAGAAACAATGCCGGAAGGAGGGAGCCCATTTCAATATTCCTCCTTTAACTTCTTTCAGCGTGGGCTAAAAATATGCACAAAACTGTTGTTATTGTGTAACTAAACACATCTGAATCTAAAAAGACCTCCATGTAAAATTGTATTAAAATCAAAAATATTTTACACTAATTCCACATTTCAAGGATACTAGTGTGGATCGGAGGTCCCCCATTTTCCATGTCACATACGAGTACTATAAGATACAATTCGCAAGATTACTGGTTACAGTCGGACCAAACATATGCATTACAGCACTAACTCACTTCCTTAACATCTTTGATTTTTGTCATAAAAATCTAGGTTTGAGCAGTCTTTGAAATTCAAGATAAATGTGGAATAATTTTACAAACCTTGAGAAAGTTCTTACACAAACTAATTCAGACAAATCCCACAATGACACTAAGGCATCAGCACTACCAGTAGCAAAATATGTTCCTACAGGATCAAACTCAATACATATACAATTAGCAGGGTGAGCTGTTAAACTGTGCAATGGCTTTAATGCTGGATAACTGAAGAAGAACAATATTTTTGTTTATAGTATATGAACAGCATTTTTATCCAGATACTTCTAAATATTAAACATACATTGCAAGAGCTAAATCTTCCAATTGCAAGTCTTTATTTAGGCTTCAGATGTTATAGAAATTATTAATTAGATCTTTATTTACATGACAAGCTCAAAATCAACCCTGTAGACCCTCGGATGACTTGGATACAGCTTGGATTTAAACAGTTGTCTATTTAAAATTAAATAAAGAAATGGCCAACCAAGCTAACGTTTACCGTTAATCACGGACGTCACTATCGGAAACTGGTGATGAAAGACCTACCCAGGCTACCATAGCCATTGAGAATGTTACTGGACAATCAAGAAATTCTCAGAGACGGTGCGGACACAGTTGATGCCCATTTCTAGTCCAAACTTACAACAATGACAACTCCGTTCAGAATAAAGTAATTTGACTGAAATTTTCAATATTTTCTATTTTTATCATCTATTTTTGAATTATTATAGCAAGAATGGCCAACTCTTTATAAAACTCTAACTAATATATCTTTAAGGTTTGGGTGCTTATGTAAATCTCTCTCCCTAAATATAATTCCTACTACAATTGAATCGCTACATTCTGGTTTAGTTCATTTTACATTAATTTCTAGCATTAATTTCTTATTTTACCATAGTTATTATTGTTGTGGATTTGGGGGGAATCTTGGTCAAGCACACACTGTCCTTAGTGTATCCTCTATATAAAAGTAAAACATTGTAATAAATATCAAAATGTGCAAACCTAAGTATATTTATTGTTCCTTGACCACTTGTTAGGAAAAAGAGATCACCATCATTATTCCAGGAAATTTCATTTACTTCATATTTAAATTGTTCATCTGTTCGTGACCGGTGTGTTCTGGCATCAATAAAGGTCACCAAGTCCTCTTTATTCCCAACAGCTATAGTGCTACCATCTGGTGACCAACATATATTTATATTTTCACCTAAAAAGTAAAATTCATACAGAAATCATTTTAGAATGTATTATCACATTCTTACTTACATCTTCAAAATATAAATGGACCTGCCAAAAAACATCAAGATTTGCTTAACATTATGCATTAGGCTACCTGTTCTAGAAATTGAAATATTTGGTTAAAAAAAGAGTGCCTAATCCATCGACCTACAATCATTCTCCTGTTGTGCTTATAGATTAAACTGACATTACAAAGTTAGAAAAGAAAGTTACACAAGGCAGCTTATAATTAAAGTGTATCAAACCAAACCTTTTGTATTAACACTAGCTACAGATCTACTAGATCTTGTATCCCAGATTCGTATTGTTTTGTCACCACTCGCTGTCACAAGATGATCAGGATGTTTAGGATGCCAGCATAACTGATCTACACTATCACCATGACCACGAAAGGTATTTTCTTTGCTCTGAAATTATATATATTTTTTAAATTAATAACCACAACATAAAACGGTAGTCCATTTGCAAACCTTCCACTAGGGTAAAGTAGAGATGTACACATTCAGTGTTCCAAGAATAACAGTAGCTGCAAAACAAATAACAAGGAAAAAATAGAAGTGTAAACAGGTGTTGAGGAATTAACAGACTAATTAATTACTCAACACTGCTCTAAAAACTAAACAGTTATAAACCCAACACTCGTTATCTAATCTAGACAGACCCTTTAAACTACACGACAGTGAATAGTATAACCTAATGGTTATCTATGATTCTCAACAGATTTTAACAGTTTTCCAACAATGGTTTGAAACTTAACATTAAATACAGAAAAAATTGCTAAAACAACACAGCTAAATGATACCCAAGTTGTAGTGTATGACCATTAGACATCAACTGGGTGGGGTGTTTACATACACATGTACATCGACTTGGATTGGAAGAATACTTTAAGGGATCGTGGAATTAGATTACAGAAGAGAGATAACTGTAATGGAATTTCTGCAAATGAGGGTCACACCATGCTTAGTGGTGAGGATTTCGGCATTGTTGGCTGATCTGACTACTTTTTTAGGCGGCCCTTTTTTCACAAAAAACCTAATCCTAGTTAATGGGAACTAACCATAACCCATAATCCACATCTATATATAATATAGAGCGAAGCTCTTTTCCGGTAACACAGGAGCGTAACTGAAATTGTCACCCACAGACTGTTGATTAAAAAAAAATTCAGACCGGAACCGGATACACTGGGCAAAACAGGCAATGCGCATGTCAACTTACCAAATCTCGCCCAAGCGAGATTACGCGCCTCATAGAACTATTTCTATGACGCATCTAATCAATGACGTCACATATTTTTGATGTCAATGAAAATAATTCTCACACTTTCTTGTTCTTTTTTTAAAAACAAAATTAATGTATACAATTTAGATCTAAATGAAAATCAATTTGGAAAAACTAAATTATTTAACATTTTTTGTATCACTTGAGAAAATTAATTATGAAGGTTTTATATTTGACAATCATCAGCTTCGCTCTACTCAGGCAATGCCTGTTACATATTAGTTTTAGTTTAGATTTAAAAGGGGTTAAAAGAGAAAGGATAAAAGAGAAGAAAAACAGAAATGAAAAGATGAATGAAAAAAGTAGTTAGATCAACCAACAGCGCCAGGATTTCATAAATATCTATTGTCTTTTTGTGAAGTAATTTGTGTGACGCAGTAGGACCAGTATTTATTATGCCCACGGCAGTACAGGCAGTTGACGTCGAGTTGAGAAAAAAAAACCTGGACCTACTAATCTATCTCTTTCCAGGGTATAAACACACACAGTCTTGTCAAAGGACCCGGAAGCCAGTCTTCTACCATCACAGCTCCATGCCACTGAGTGAACTTTTGCTAAATGTGACTGTGTATCCCTAACACGGTTGTTATTTTGAAAATGTTTTTGCATGCTCTCCATGTAAGTCGCCATGTTGGACAAAAGGAATCAATATGGAGTTGTCTCCCATTAAACCTCGTTAAATGGAGTTACTTCCCGTATACCGAGTTCACCCTTCATGTTTCCAGAAGAAAGTGAACGAAGGATTTGTGGTGAACTGAAAGTGAGAAGATACTTGGTTTGGAAATCAATTTAGCAACTACGAGCAATACACTGACACAAAAATATTGGTTCTTGCTTTATCATGGCGGGCGACGGCTCGTGTAAGTATAGAATATAATAAAATTTACTGTTAATTTCGTGAAACTATTTTAATGTTTTTATAAACACTTCTCTTGAGGCTAGGCTAGGTTACAATTTGGTTAATCGAGGCAAGGCTTGTGGCTTGTTGCTTGGGACGCCTTGTGAACTTCCGTTTCGTCTGCTATGAAAAATAAAATGATTAAAAAGGAGTACCGGTAATTGGGTAATCCGTAAAAGCGAAGACATAACCCTGAATATAAAAACTTTGGCCTATTACTATTGCCATACTTTGTCTGCGATATCACTTCGGTGGAAGCGGACGTTAAATAAAGCTATTTCACACACACTATTGGTATTAGCGCAACAATATTTAACTTCCAGAAATTAGTTGGTAGGCCTATTGAACACCCACCAACATATCTGGCAAGAATTTAGAAAGAATTAAAAGGGTGAATCAGTATGGCTCTAGTCTTTGGGTCATTAAAATTAATAAAATAGACGAAAATAAATCTAAAGTAAAAGAAAAGCACATATTCTGGGTGTGAGGATATAATTTCTAGGCGCTGATTTGGTTAAATTGTACTGTTGATTTTAATGGCATGACAATGACATACAAAATATGACATTTTCTACTAAATAGTAAAATACAGATAGCAAAAACAACCATGGTCTTAATTCCTTCAAAATTATAGATCTACATCAGTGCATGATTTATTTTACTTCTCAACTGCTATCTATAGAGGTAGTGTAAAAAGTCTGTTTTGATAACAAAAAATGCAACAGTTGTTCACAAAAATGATATATTTGGAACCAGGATTGTTCAAATACTGAAACATAGTAGATTCTATATACTGTTATTGATGTGATACAAGTTAAAATATTTTATTTTTTTCTGTGGTCACATGTGCAATACTAGGGAGCAGTGTTTCTGCCTACTCTGCATTGAAATAGACAAAAATCATGGACTATTAGTAGGATGAATTCATAGTGAAGAGTTTCTCTACCACTCAAATGCCGCCACAGTGGAAGGATAGGGCCTGGGCAGTGGGCATCATATATAAAATAAGAGTGAGAGGTCAGGTACCATGACTAGTAAGTGCACGAGGATTGCACTAAACACAAAACAAAACCGACAAGACCAACCTGCGGAAAAGACAAACTACATAGACATTGCAAGAAATATGAAATCAAGTAAATAGATCTGGGGCCATCTGTAAGCATCCACTGCGCTGTACAGTCCCGCCTGTAACGATACAGCCTTCACTCAAAATGAAAAAAAAAATGATTTACAAGACATAACAGAAATAATGCGACTGGTCTTGGTCATCTTGGTGGTGGTCATCTCTTGAATGGCAATAGTCTGCCAGTTGACATCATCAGTTAGAACGTCACACTATTTTAACAAGAAGACTCGAGAGTGATGATCCAATTTTTTAGTAGCTATTTAATTGTTAGTTTAGCATGCTCAATATATCCAGGGGGGGGATGGATGGTCGAATGGTTAGCACACGCGAGCTGTATCACGAGGCCTGTCATTGAGTCAACTGGCATGGTTTCGAATCCCCGGTTGTACGTGACAAGGAGTAGGGTTGCCTGTCCAACCTTGTGGGTTTTCTACGGGTCCTCCGGTTTCCTCCCACTGCTAAAGACCCCAACGCGCAAGCGAATTATTGAATAAAATTAAACCATATGTTGGTCCCGAAATGACCTAGTCTGTGTCGAGTGGACATTAAACCCCATTTCTATCTCTCTCTCTCAATATATCCAACCTCACTTTAAGATATCAAGATTTGATTTTATTGGATTGTATATGGTCATTTATTTTATGGATGACAATTTCTTCTATAGATAAAACCTGTGTTATTATGATTTTATAAAACAAGACCATGTCTTTCAAAAAATAAAATTTAGCAGATAGAGCACGCCCATCATTAATTGAAATAACACATCAGTCATCAGATCAACCCAATTCATCAATCAAAAATATTTACTTCTTTATAAACAGGCATTATGCCAGAACTAAATCTGCCCATTGCAGGTCTTTCTTTAGGCTAGGCCTTAAATGTTATATAAACTATTAATTAGACATTTAATAACATGACAAGACTATATTCAACTCTCAATGCCATCTGATGGGTACAATTTTAAACAGATTTAAATCCAATTAGCGGTTCTACCAACGTTCATGATTAACCATAAAAATGCATAATCAAGACTTATTGGAACAACGCCAGTAATGAGGATTGAGGCTAGCTAAAAATTGAATGCTAATATCTAGATTCAGAGTGAAGCAATTTGACTGAAATTTTCAGTATATTCTCTTTTCATTATCCTTTTTATTTAACTATTATAGCGAGCACTGTTAGCTTTTAAACTAATCTTACCTAATCCCCCTTTAACTGAAAGCTCTATCGCTTTCCTTAAAACTGATGCTCTAAAAGGGTGTCTCTTTAAATTACATGTACTGTCAATTCCAAAAGTTGTGTTAAAATACTGGAAAGGAACTATCAAAACTTTGATTATTTGTTTTATGAAATAAGAGTGAGTCATGCTTAATTTTATTTAGAGGTCAAAGTATTTTTAAGAGATAAAATTTTCACTGTTTATCATTATATGATGTTCACAATTGAATGAAACCAAATAAAATTTTATAAACAATCATAGACCGGGCGCCTGCTTCAGTTAATCATACTAAGAGAGGGAAATTGTCTGATAGGGCATAATTGTTTGTCATTGCCTACTAGTCAAACATCTGGATTGCTGCCAGGAATTAACCTGCCCATTTAGGTGGTGTGGGGGCCTAAAGGGAGCCCATTTTCACTTTTAATCATACTTTGGTAGGGATGGACAATTTTGATAATATTTAATATATAGGTAATACTGAGTCGAAAAACACCATTGACAGCAACTTTTTATTGACAGTGACCTTGGACAGCAATGGTCAAGTGCTGTCCAAAATTCATTTATTCATACTAAGTGAGGGATGGCTAAAACTTTTTGAATATGATTCATTAGACGGTTCCAAACATTCCTACATCATTGCCAGCAATTTCACACTGACCGGAAGTGGTGACAGTTAAATACCACAACATGGCATCAGGTATGAGGCATCAGATATAATCATACATTGAGAGGGATGGCTGATTTTTTTACACAATGTTAAAATACAAATGACAGCAATTTTACACTGACCGGAAGTATCCCCAGTGATGATTACGTAATGGCCCCATCCTCAGATATAATCATACATTGAGAGGGATGGCTGATTTTTTTACACAATGTTAAAATATGTATATACACTACAAAAATACAAATGACAGCAATTTTACACTGACCGGAAGTGTCGCCAGTGATGATTACGTAATAGGCCCCATCCTCAGATATAATCATACATTGAGAGGGATGGCTGATTTTTTTACACAATGTTTAAGTATGTATATACACTACAAAAATACAAATGACAGCAATTTTATACTTACCGGAAGTGTCGCCAGTGATGATTATGTAACAGGCCCCACCCTCATATATAATCATACATTGAGGGGATGGCTGATTTTTTTACACAATGTTAAAATATGTATATACACTACAAAAATACAAATGACAGCAATTTTACACTGACCGGAAGTGTCGCCAGTGATGATTATGTAATAGGCTCCATCCTCATGAAATTGGGTGCTTGATAAGGCTATAAATTCACAAAAAGTTTAAGTATCTCCTACTGCAAAATTACGATGGCAGGGCATAAATGGCAGGGTAGCTATATTATCTAAACCAAAGTGTTACTCTTCTATATATACCATGGTCTTCTATATATTCCATGTACGACCAATCTTTTCCTGGTAACATGGACATCAATAGTTACGATCACAGTCATACATAATTTAAACCTCGTTTAAATATCATCTTCATCATCATCTTCACCATCATCTTCGCTCTCATCTTCGTAATTTTGCAGTAGGAGATACTTTAACATTTTGTGAATTTATAGCCTTATCAGGCACCCAATTTCATGAGGATGGAGCCTATTACGCAATCATCACTGGCGACACTTCCGGTCAGTGTAAAATTGCTGTCATTTGTATTTTTGCAGTGTATATACATATTTTAACATTGTGTAAAAAAAATCAGCCATCCCTCTCAATGTATGATTATATCTGATGCCTCATACCTGATGCCATGTTGTGGTATTTAACTGTCACTGTCGCCACTTCCGGTCAGTGTGAAATTGCTGGCAATGATGTAGGAATGTTTGGAACCGTCTAATGAATCACATTCAAAAAAGTTTTAGCCATCCCTCACTTAGTATGAACAAAATGAATTTTGGACAGCACTTGACCATTGCTGTTCAAGGTCACTGTCAATAAAAAGTTGCTGTCAATGGTGTTTTTCGACTCAGTATTACCTATATATTAAATATTATCAAAATTGTCCATCCCTACCAAAGTATGATTAAAAGTGAAAACGGGCTCCCTTTAGGCCCCCACACCACCTAAATGGGCAGGTTAATTCCCGGCAGCAATCCAGATGTTTGACTAGTAGGCATTGACAAACAATTATGCCCTATCAGACAATTTCCCTCTCTTAGTATGATTAACTGAAGCAGACGCCCGGTCTATCACCATGTTATCCAATCTAATCAAAATTAGATCATTACATTGTTTTGGTTTTTATAATTTGTTTGCCTATAAATTACTATCATGTTCTTTAAACATGCATTATGCAAGAGCTAAATCTGATTATTGAAAGTCTTTATTTAGGCTTCAGATGTCATAGAGATTATAAATTAGTAGATCTTTATTTACACAACAAGCACAAAATCAACTCTGTAGACCCACGGATGGCTCGGATTCAGCTTGGATTTAAGCGGGATTTCTTTGACTGATTTATTTTTAAATGGCGTCGTGAGCGGGGATTAAACGTTACGTTGACATCATACTCCCGGATCGAGGCTAAATGATAGAGTGTACGAAGCAAGGCCGCTGTTGAGCGATGCCTTAACAAATGACATCTAAATTACTATTTAAAGTGCAATAAACTAAACACAGATAATGACAAATTATACAATTCCTGGAGACCGTGTGATGACTAATACAGACGGACAGGTCTTCTGTCTTAATAATCGCTCTATCATACGGTCTGTCATTGAGTCAACTGGCGGGGTTTTTATTCCCCGGTTTTACGTGACAAGGAGTAGGGTCGCCTGTCCAACCTCGTGGGTTTTCTCCGGGGCCTCCGGTTTCCACCCACTGCTAAAGACCCCTACGCGCACGCGAATGATTGAAATAAAATTAAACCATGTTTTAGTCTCGAAATGACCTAGTTTGTGTCGAGTGGACGTTAAACCCCATTTCTCTCTCTCTGTCTTAATATTATCAATAAAAATATTTTTATTTCCCCAATAGGCACGACGCCACTGGTGTATACCTATAGATTTATCATAATTGTATTATACTATTATGTCCTATATTCAATTGATTTAATGCCTGCCCAAAATACAAGTAAGAATGAAAATTTACCCTCTCACTCATTTTGTCCAATTGTTATAAAAATCCAAAAAGGTAAAACACAAATTTGGATATGATGACAGCAGAGATTATGTAGGTGGAGTTAACGCCTGTCAATCAAACGATCAGCCATACTAAGAATCGGTGAAGATGGAATTCAATCCCATTTCTAGTTAAAAATTACACTGGTGATAACTATGTTCAGAATAAAGTAATTTGACTGATATTTTCAATATATTCTTCTTTCATCATCTATTTTTGAACTGTTATAGCAAGAATTGCTAACTGCTTATAAAAATCTCCCATAATGTATCTTTAAGTTTGTTATGACGTAAATTCGTCTGTTAGTACTCAGAGTGCATTAGGGGATTATTATGTTATATTATTATATACCTAGAAAATATAATTATAATCATTTTCAAAGATAATATATTTATAAGTCAACTCTTCAAAATTTATTACTTTCATTATTTATGATGTATCAGTTGAATGGTATGTTAGAGAATAACATCCAATATGAGTTCATAAAATCATAATTTCTATTCTGTGGTGAGAAATGACAGTGTTAAATAGAACTCTAACCCAGGTAACCAATTGTTCGAATAGAATAATGAACACATGTTAGTTTATAATGTATTTCTTTAAGAAACTCGTTGATCTGTTCAATAAGGACTGTTTCTACATAATAGTCGCTTTTATTGGTCTGTGCCATAAAAATATCATTAGATCACCGACAGGAGAAAATACCAGAAAGTCGACTTTACCTAACTGTATTGAATATGGCAATACATTTCTTATTGATCTGTTGGATGTTGTGACAGTCCTGAGTCAAGCCGAGGGTGGATTTAAGCTCCTATAAGTTTATTTCCCCGGTGTTAAAACTCGTAAAGACAGTCTATGGTTATTTGTTAGACACAGTGAAGATATTTTTTAACTATTTATTTTTTATTGTGAAACACACTATCTGATTTATTATCTGTATGTAAAATATCTCGCAGCTACTGTTGAGTACGATAGTCATTTATTCTACGGATTATCAGGCCAGTAAAGCTGTTGGAAAGAAGTGTATCTTCACCTAATGTATATCTTTCATTAGAACTTCAAAAGCTTTGAACAGTTAGTGTTAGTCAAGCAAAGGGATTATACACTGAGTCAGAGAGTTTACCTGAAGGAATTCAGCAGTAATAGTATAGTCATGTCTGATCAAGATACTACAAATACAGGTAGGTCTAAAAAAAATCAAAAATAATTAGCTACCGGTATTTGCACAAAAGTTCAAAATATTTTAATTCTGGAATATTGGCATGTACATGTAGTTAAAATCCACTTTATTTGTTAGAAGGAATCTGTCTGAATCATTTACAATTATAATCTTCAGAATAATTGATAAAATTAGAATTTTTCTGGTATCAATTTCAGTTTGAACACTCTCATTTGCCAACGCTGGCCACGATACAAGTCAGAATGTTTATCAATGCTATTCATTTTAATTTAGTGGATTGTTAATATGTACAATAAGTAAAATTTAACTACCATACAAGTGCACTTGTAACAGAATGTTAACAGACCAACCGCCTTTACTATTATTACTACTTGTATATGCCATGATTATTATATTAAATATTTAATCTGATCATACATGTAAAAGGCCTTAGGATATTTAATTAAGAATTTTCTGTTGCGGGGACTGCATGTTCCTTGCAAGATCAAAGCTAATGAATGCCGGACTTACTAAATACTCAAATTTTCACATAGAATATTGAGGGTAGTTATTATTTCTGAATCTTTTTGTCCCCCGCCCTTCAAAGAAAGCAGAGGACTATTAAAATGGGTTCATCCGTCTGTCCGTCCGTCTGTCTGTCCGTCACACCTTTTGGGACACAATAACTCTCTTTCTAATTGAGCTAGAATGTTTAAACTTGGTGTAGGTGTTTATTAGGTCGATGCCTTGATGAAGTTCGATGATGAGCATTTTCTGCTCAGGGTAAGGAGAGATAAGCAATTTTATTGGTTGATGCTTTGGGACACGATAATTTTAGTTCTAATTAAGTGAGAGTGATGAAACTTGGTGTATAGTTTCATTACATCAATACCTTGACTAAGTTCGATAATGAGCATTTTTCGCTCAGGGTAAGCAGAGTGATAAGCAATTTGATTGGTCGAGACTTTGGAACACAATAACTCTCCTTCTAATTGAGCTAGTTTGTTCAAACTTGGTGTAGGTGTTTATTAGGTCAATGCCTTGATGGAGTTCGAAGATGAGCATTTTCTGCTTAGGGTAAGCAGAGATAAGCAATTTGATTAGTTGATTCTTTGGGGCACGATAACTTGGGTTATAATGAAGTGAGAGCAATGATTCATTATATTATTACCTTGACTAAGTTCGATGGTGAGAATTTTCTGCTTAGGCTAAGGAGCGACAAGCAATTTGATTGGTCAAGACATTGGAACATAACTCTGCTTTTAATTGAGGTAGAATGTTTAAACTTGATGTAGATGTTCATTAGGTGAAAGTTTTGACTGAGTTCAATGATTAACATTTCGAGCTAAAGCTAAGCAGAGCTAAGCAATTTCATTGGTCGATGTTTTGAGACACGATAACCTTGATTCTATCTGATAGTGATAGAGAGTGCTGAAACTTAGTGTATAGTTTGATTGCTTGATACTTTTGAAAAAAATAAATGTGCGATTAATTAATATGTGTCCTCTATTTATTTTGGGATTACGGCGGTTAACCAAATCTTAGTATAATTATTAATCTGTGCAGAATTGTCTTTTTCAATGTTTTTAGAATGTCAACTGTTACATTTCCAATTGATAGAACTTTGAAACAAAAACTATCATTCCAAATTTCAGGAAAAATCCATTATGTGAAAAGCATTGAATTTTTAAAAAATAATTAACAATGATGCCATTTTTCAGAAATAAAATAAAATGGGTTTCAACACCCCACTTTTCTACTGTTGTAGAGTATAAAAGTTAACTCCAAGGACTAAATCCATGCCTAGATCTGTTTATCTTACCATTAGGTTTTAGATATAAGGAGGTTCTATTGTGAATGCAACAGTGAAATTGATGAGTATACATGTACATCCCCAATGCTAAAATTTGCTGTATACCCTAAAAGAGGAATGTGCCTAGGAGTATAGGGCTTTACACTCTCCTTTAATTTGAAATATAGTTGATTTGATACCTGGAATTAAGTTTAATGTCGTACTTTTCTGCACCAAACAATTTAACAGAGACAAGTGGATATAAGAAACTGTGATTAATTTTTAGCTGTTCTTTACTGTGTGGTCAAATAGCAATTTATCTTTGAAACCAAGTCCTTTAACAAAGAAACATAGGTAGGCCTAACATGATAAAAACACTGACTGTATATCACTCTGTATCAAACCTTCTTATGTGATTATATTTAATTAAAATAGATTTATTAAAAGTTTAAACCTATGCTTTGGTGTACATGTATGCCCAAATATTAATTTAACCAAAAAACAAAGTCCTCCCATTACTTGGTAAATGATTTGATGAGAATCTTATCTCTTTCAGAGATATTACCGATATAACCTAGGGTGGAATGTAGTTGTTTAACTGACATAGTGAGGCAGTCAGAAAGTTGTCTTTGTATACAAATATAAAGACTAAATAACCTAAACTTATAACACAGGTATAATCATGTGTAAACAGTTAATTATATGGACAATTTGACCTGTCAAATAATAATCTCATTTTATACAATCAATCATTGGATAAGGGTAATTTCATTTCAATTACATGTACAATGAATAATGGAAAGATCGGGAACAGAATTTAACAGTCAACACGTTTTAGGGAAGAGTGCACATTTTATCTTATGAACCTTGAAAATTCATTAAAAGTGACTAATTAACAAACTGTTAGTAATTTTTGGTAACAATATTATCAGATCTGCATTAAGGCACATATTTAGGAGCTGCTTCCCCAGGGGCCTCTGACAGCAGAGGTGCCTATACAGAGATTAAGTGAAAAGATATTAATTTATGAATTCTTAATCAAATTGTAAATATAGCAGCACCTTAAGTTATCTATATATCCATAGTAAAGATACTACGGTAAAAAGTGGCCACCGGTGGGTAAAATTTTCTAGGGTTCATAACATGTAACTGTCTTTCTGGGGCCAACACAATACCTGTCTGTAGCCTATAGTAATGTATACTGCATGATTTTTATCCAGTTTCTTCATATCATTAATAAAACAATGTACCTTCAAACTTCAGTCCATAAAATGACAAAATTTGGGTAAAAAAAAGGCTGCCAAGGTAACTTGAGTCATGCTTTATTTTAATACATTTAAATTCCCATATCATTTCTTTTTTAATTTGTATATTTGTGAAAGATTAAGGAAATAAAAGTTTAAAGAAATGCTCTGACTGGGCTAATGAAGACAAGGCTACGCCATACAGTATGCTATGAGGGAAATTTTTCAGGGATGGCAGTGCCACGACCTACTCTTTTATCGAATTCCAACTGCCAAGGGATCTTTTACGAGCACCCCAATGTGTACATGGGACCTCAGTTTTTTGTCCCATCAGAACAATTAGACAACTGTCCTTGTCAGGCCCTCCATCCTGCACCACCGACAAGGGGAAACCAAGCTGGAAAATCCTGATGAATGTTTTCAGCCAACACTGGGTTTGAACCAGCGACCTCCAGACTAGTGAGCCAGCGTCTTACTCAATTAGCCAGCATGACTCCCCGAAAGTTTAACTAGCAAGAAAAACTTTAGTATTGACTCGAAGGAAAGCAGGGAACTTCAACTTTACACGGGGAGAACCTTGGGTGTCAGGGTATTTTCTATACATTTATACACCAAGATTCTTCGTATATATCTCGAATTTTAAGTACCGGTAAATAGAAAAACTTTGCTGTTGATATGAATGAGAAAACCCTATAGTTTATAAGTTATTTAATCCAGAAGTGTCTTCATGGTTTGTGTGGGTTTGTTGTCCGTCAGTCCATCTGTCTGTCTGTCTGTCCGTCACACTTTTCGGGACACAATAACTCTTCTTCTACTTGATCTAGAATGTTCAAACTTGGTGTAGGTGTTTATGAGGTTGATGCCTTGATGGAGTTCGAAGGTGAGCATTTTCTGCTTAGGGTAAGCAGAGATAAGCAATTTGATTGGTTGATACTTTGGGACAAAATAACTTTAGTTCTGATTAAGTGAGAGTGATCAAACTTGGTGTATAGTTTCATTACATCAATACCTTGACAAATTTCGATAATGAACATTTTCTGCCCAGGGTAAGCAGAGCGATAAGCAATTTGATTGGTCGAGACTTTGGAACACAATAACTCTCCATCTAATTGAGCAACAATTTTCACACTTGGTGTAGGTGTTTGGTGAATGCCTTGATGGAGTTCAGGGTGAGCATTTTCTGCTTGGTTGATACTTTGGGACAAAATAACTTTAGTTTTAAAGAAGTGAGAGTGATGAAACTAGGTGTATAGTTTCATCACATAAAAACCTTGACTAAGATCGATAATGAACATTTTCTGCTGAGGGTAAGTAGAGCGATAAGTAATTTTATTGGTTGAGACTTTGAAACACAATAACTGTCCTTCTAATTGAGGTAGAATGTTCAAACTTGGTGTAGGCGTTCATTAGGTGAATGCCTTGATGGAGTTCTTTGATGAACATTGTCTGATTTCGGTACAGGCAGAAATAAGCAATTTGATTGGTTGATGCTTTTGGGCACAATAACTTTGTTATAATTAAGTGAGAGCTATGAAACTCCGAGTATAGATTCATTATATCATTACCTTGACTAAGTTTGATAAGAATTTTTGCTTAGGCTAAGGAGCGATAAGCAATTTGGTCAAGACTTTGGAGCATAACAAATTTGCTTTTAATTGAGATAGAATGTTTCAATTTGTTGTAGATGTTCATTAGGTGAATGTCTTGACTTAATTCAATGATTAACTTTTCCAGCTAGAGCTATAAGCAGAACTAAGCAATTTCTTTGACTTTGATTCTATCTGATAGAGATTGATGAAACTCAGTGTATAGTTGATAATCAGTTTGATTGCTCGATATTTATTTCGGGATTTCAGCGGGAGACATCAGCCTCACTGTTGGCTTGTTTTACACAATGCATCTTTAATGAATGTAATCTAGATACCCAGTAATTGATGACTATTGAAAGGATTTACTGGTATTTTGACAAATATATTATTTATTGAG